GAATAAATGCCGGAATATCGAACTAAGTTTAGAAAATTCATTCTATTTTTATATTGGCTTCCGGCAACATCACTAACATAAATAATTTTTTTTACAGTATTTTGAAATGTATTTTTGACGAATTCAATTAAATTTTTTTGATATTTAGCATAAATTCTTTTTCGTAAGAAATTCAAAGACTTTTAAAGACTTCTAGAAGCTATTACAAATTGATGTTTATATTTTCTACCATATATTTTTGCATATACGTCATTCTCACGCCCGATCTAACGCACAGAGCAAATGTTTCATTCAATGTTGTTTCAGATTTATATTACTTATATTACTTTACTTATATTACTTTATATTACGTTATATTAAGTAAATAAGTCATCAAAATTTAATTTAAATTTAATTACTTATTTAATTAATTAATTTATCTATTATTTAAATAAATACATATAAACTGTTAGAATATGAAATTATTTATTCTTTAAAGAAGGCAATTGCAGCAAGCAACGTTGGTACCGCACGAGTAGCAGACGGCCGAGCGGCTAGCGCGCGGTTCGTTTCATTTTAGTGCTATCTTAATCCTAATAGCGGGCACTCGATTTTCTCACCGGTTTCTTATGTAAAAAATGACAAGGAACACGATGGTGCAAAAATTAAAAGAAAAAAAATATCGTTTTTTGAGATATCGTCGATTTTTTGAAAAAATTGTTTATAACAATGGCATAAATAAATTATTTGGTATTTTATTATTTACATTTTAAAAGTGAAACTCTTTCCGCGTCTTTTAAAAAAAGAATCATGTCCATATCTTTATTAGTCTCCGAGAAATCGAATTAATAAAAAAAAGTCCAATATTTTTTCAACAGTTGATAAGTCGGCCCCTTATCAATATTTTGATCTAAAACTCTGCACAGATGTTGACCTCTGTATAGATAAAAAGTCTACCAACTTTGAACAAAATTGGTGATTTGAAGTTTTAAACTGTTTGAAATAGCCAAGAATTGCCCAAGTGGTCGTTGACGCGAAGAGGATTTACGCGTTCTTAAGAAGAAGCACAATGAGTTTGACTGGCAGGTTTCGTTGTCATTGAATGATATTGCTGTGCTTAAAATTGGTTCTTTTAACGTGAAATTGATAATTTTATTAGAAAGAAAGTTTCCAAATTTATTTGATACTTGAAGAGTACAATAAATTTAAGAACTTTTTGTTTTTGTGGATTTTTCATGCACTGGGTTTGAAAATAGCGACTGTTACTTTCATAATCCGCAGAAGAATGATCTCATAACCTTCGAATTTGAAAAACCATTTGTTTACGTCGGAAAGTTCAATGATGTTTTGCATGCAGTCACAAACTTGCTGATTCCAACAAGTAGTCATTTGATATAGGGTAGTATTACGAAAAAATCGCAAGTCGATGTTTTTTACAGCAAAAATAAAAGTGACATTATGGTTAAAATACTACTATATTTTTCATAGCAATCTGTATCAGTGGTGGTATTATGTTCTTTATCGTTTTTTGTATTGAGTTGTTCGTAACTAATTACTGTAATAAACAATGAGTAAAATGAGACGTTATGGATTTTTCACGATGCAGTCATAAAAATAATATTACTTTGTAGCTCAACGATAGTTTAGATCTGAGACATAATAAACTGAAGAAGCTCCGTTTGCCCAAAATAAATCGATGACACCAATACACAAGTTACGAAGGACATGAGGTAGTAATAGCAGATTTTGACTGAAACAAGGTCGAAGTATCACAGTAATGACACTGAATACGAGGTCAGTTCGTCCAGTGCAAGGCTACGCAGTGCAAAGGCCAGAGTCGTCGCTAATTCCAAATGTGAGAAATCGCATATCGACAAGATACGCGATAGCGAATTGTGTACTAGAATATTCTAGGACACGAGGATGCTACGTCATAAGGAATTTACAGGGCGATTATGAATGATTTGTTGTTTGGAAAATTTAAGACTAAAGTCAACTAAAGAAAGCTATTATCCTTCATTACCATCAGGTATACATTTTACTCAATTTAATTACTACTAGAATTACTCAATAAACGTTGTCCTACAAAAAAAAATACTCATTTACTCATGGAAAATATACGTCTACCAGTGATTTCGATTGAGTAACTGATTACCATAAACTAATATACTATATAATATATAATAGAAACTTTGCCTTTTTTATGGTATCAGTTTTAATCAACACTTTTTTTAGTAATTAGCTAATTACTTAGTACTTTTATTTAATTTGTGTGAATTTTTATTTCTTTTCAGTAATGTTCTTAAATCATTACTCAAATTAAGCAAGTAATACTTAGTTTTGAGCAGTTAGTAATTAAATATATGTCCATTTTTTATTTCAAATTCTGATGGTGATTAATTAATATTCTTTTTTGGGACATATTTTTTGAATTAGAATAAACTTTCATCACTTAATAAAAATGATACTCATTGCAGTGTGCGTTATTCTTTTATTGAGTCATATTATCTATATATTTCTACATAGGGTAACAGCGGAAGTCGACTTGTGTATACAGAAATAATACTATTATCGGAATAGCAAGTAACATTGCAATTGAATGTAACGAGAACGATGAGCTAGAGATTTACACCAGAATATCGTTTTATATTAGCTCCATTTGAAAAACTTTGAAAAGCAATGCAAGCAGTATACATATCAATAGATATTAATAATTTATGTTTAATATTTGTTTGGATGTTATTGAATGGATAACTAAAGTGACGTGAGATTATTTATTGTATATTTTCAGATTTATTTTAATTTATTTTAATTATTATTAGGATAATAATGATAATAAAAATAATTAGATAATAATAATAATTATAATAGTAATAACAATAATAATAATAATGATTTTTTTTTATAATTAAGCTTTATTAACTTTTATTATAAGGTTATTTAGCTATTTACAGAAAATATATATATAATAAAGAATAATAATAATGATAATAATACGGAAGTATAATGACTATATATAAGAATACATAAGTCAAATAGGTCTCTGTGTGCACTGTGGAGCTTATACTTTAATATTACATTTTTCAAAGAACCTACAGACTAATTGAATAACGTTGATGTCGGAAGCGCTTAGGAAACATTTTATATCGAGAGGAAGAAAATGCTTGTTTTTGGCTAAAGCCGTTATCAATCATTTTCTTTACTTTTCGTGCATTGGGCATTGCCATATGACATGATTGAGATCCTGAACCTCGCTTAGGCACTCACATCTTGGATCCTCTATAACTTTTATCTTGGCTAGCGATTCGTTCAATAATGATGATGATGATGATTATGATAATGGGAATTTCAAATTATTCTTATCTAAAAAATAAATTTCCCAACAAAAACTTTTATAACAAATTATTAAAAAATAGAATATGCATTCTACCTTACAAATAAGTTTTTAGACTTCAACAAACTTGAATGATGGATGCGAGTATATAAAATTAAATGTCTTAAAGTATAGTACCGTGTCTACTCTTTATTCAAATTAAATGACAGAAACTATGTGGTTAAAATCATAATTTTCAGTGTGTTGACATTTGTTTCGATAATTCAAAATCTTAAATGTCGTAACTTTTATTTTATTAATCTTATGGTATTGAACATCATAAATATTTATTCACGATATTATGGTAAGGTTATTTTGATAATATATTCGATACTACAAAGTATGCTTTATAATATTTTATATTAAAGGCCATCACAAGTATATTTAAAATTGTAATTATTTAATAAAATTATTGTCTTTGTAACGAAACAAAATTTTTAGTATTTATGTACACTAAAACTCCTTTGTATTGTATTAAGATTATGAGCACAGAATATCAAAAATACTAAATAGCATCTCGATTGAGAACTGCAAGACATAAAATTTTTAGGAAATCTCTTATTAATATGAAATTACTTATTGATACGTATATATAGAGGTATAATGATTAACGTTATGACAATTTCACCCTGGCATCAGCTTATTATGTTATTGAAAAGATTAATAATCAAGTTAAACAAGATCCAACACGAATGACCTGAATCTTAATGACACATTAGTGGTTATTGCTGATATTTATATAATATTTGTATCTAAATCGTTTTACAGTCCAAAAATTTTGAGCGACTCGTAGAATGAAAATATCGCTGTCTTGAAACTAAATATTTTTACCTTGAATAAAAACTTGATCTTCCACTGTACACTGAACACCATATTTAGATAAGACAATTTCCAAACCTCAGATTAAATTATCCTACGTATATAGTAAAGCTATGATTGCAGGTTTCGAATCGGTTGAGTTCCATATGGCACAATTTTTATTTTATTCACTCGACAACATTTTTTTTGAGCAGGTTAATGAATACTGAATTATGCGCAAGAATAGCGAACGGAATGCTAATCCGTCAGCTGAAAATGATACTCTGTTAATTCAATAATATGGAAGAATTGAATTGTCTAAGTTTTATGAAGGTACGTTTCAGGGTGATAATGACTATTCAGTAGTTCACAAGGAATATACGATAATTGGTGGTCACATGTAAATTAGCATGTACTCAATTTTCAACTCACTCACTGCATTAAAGTTTTATTTCACGTACCTAGATTTCGTAGAAAATACAATAAATGATATTATTATGACGGCGTAATTATAGAATAAATTTTGTTTTAACGTAAAATGTTTCTATTAGTTCATCTAATACAAAATAATAATTATTAATACCTTGATAAATTTCTTGAAAAAAAGCGCATAACGAACCATAGCGTAAAAAATGGAGCGAATTCAATTTTCAAGGTTAACAGAAATCGTTAAAATTCTTTGCATTGTTCCCCAATGTTTGGTTATCAATTCGTCTCGATTGTGTATGCGTAATATCCGATCGATGTTACAAAGAAAAGCAAGAAATAAATCGATAAGGAGAAATGTCTTTTATATAACGGTTAGAACGTCAGTTGCTTAAATATTTCGTAGACGTGCATCAAGAAAAACATGGGTTATCCACTTTTGACATTGTGTCTGCTTGTTGCTTTATCTATCAATGGTGAGAATATATTAATTTACAAAAGAAAAGATGGTGAAATAAACAAATTTTCTTTTAGTAAAGGCATGGGATGCCGGAGCAATAATTGGACGTACGAACGTACTCAAACCTGTAAAATACTTAGTGACAATTAAACGCGAAGGCAAACCTGTTTGCCGTGGTGGAATTATTGGGTCTCAGGTTATCCTCACAGCTGCTAGCTGTTTTTTGGACAAAACTTTTAACGATTTTATTCCAGGATCGTTAAGTGTCATTGCTGGATATGATAATGCAACTGTCGTTGCTGACGTGGCAAAGATTTACATTCCTAAGGGTGAAGTGAACATTGCCGTATTAAAGGTAATGATATTATAAGCTTAATTTGTAGAAAAAGATATTTTGTTTGATGTTATCTCCCTCTTTTACCAATTGAATTTTTTTTTCGATGTTACATTAGGATAAATTCTTTTTTTAAAAGACTGTTAACGAAGCTATAATTTAAAAAATATAACTTGATGTGGAATTTCAGCTGAAACAACAAATCAACCTCCATGATAGTAGGAAACCCCTTCAACGATTGTCTTTACCTAAAAAAATTCGAGGTGGTATTTATAAAAACTACTTGAACAAGAAAGTCAAGATTGCGACTTTTGACGAAGATGACAGCATCACTTTTCCATATTTGCTTGGTGTAAAGGTTACTGATGAAGTACAATGTATTAAAAGATGGAATCGTTATGTTCAGACAACTGAGTTATGTGCAAAAATTGAAGACGAAGGTTATGCGCCTATGAGAGTTTGCGATGTAAGTTGAATTTAATGATTTCAATTAAACATATGTTTTTCTATGCTACGTGATATTTGATTAATTTGTTTGTTAAATTTTCTCGATACAGACTGACCTGGGAACTCCACTGGTATTCTATAATAAAGTAATTATTGGAATAACGATAGTACCACCAAACCGATGTGTTCTCAACGGCGAACCATTCATTTACACGCGTGTCTCATCTTTTGTGCCCTTCATCAAAGCCGTCATAGAAGGTAAAAGCAAGAACGCTCTTGTCAAAGTGTTGTAACAAGTGTCATTTTATCGAACTATGTAAATTTCGCTTGATGAGAAATAAAACTTTATCACATTAATCATCTATATCTATTTAAGGAACCTTTTGTATAATAACTAAACTATGAGTAGATGATGTAACTTTACGATAGTCAGCAGATGTATTTTAATATATACAATATTACCACAGTTTCTTTTGATTGATCGACAATCTTTTACAAAAAATAATTATTTTTTATTTCTTTTTCATGCTAAAATGTATTCCATACCAAATTCGATCGATTCAAGTTTTTAGTATGCGTGCGAATATTCTTAGTAGTAATGGAGTTCAATCAAATAAACTCAATTATACTATGACTATAACTCAAGATGGATAATTCATTTGTAGAGGAAATGTCATTGGTGATGGATTTATTCTGTATATCGTCCATGTCTCAATGAAAGGGACTGATAGTACGTACTTGACGATAGACTAATCATCAAGAATAGTAATCGACGTCAACATAGTTGAGACGCCTATTATCGAATGTGACACTTACTGGTAGACCTTTTTTCTTGAGGATGATATTGCAGTATTGAAGGTAAGAAATATATACATTCATTCCAAATTTGTAGATTAATTACTTGACATTCATATAGTTGAGTAAAAGCTTAATACTTTCTTGAGATACGGCGTTTGAAAAATTAAAACTACCGCAAGAAGTAAAATACAACAAATCGTACATCTTGCAAATAGTCATTGTTAATGATTACGTACTTGACAAAAACTACGATACTCGATATGGTGTATACGAGGTTATTTCTTTTTTATTTCTTTCAACAAAATATAGAATAAAAATATAAACCAATAAATTTTATTAGAGTGACAACGGTAGTCATTTAGTATTCAGTGGTGAAATCATTGATGTGGTTAGTGGTAGTGCGTAAACGTGTGATGAAAACAAGCATCCCTGTGCTTTTACCAAAGTCACATTTAACGTACGTGTTACACATTTTATCTGAGATTTATTTCAAATATCATTATTGGTGAACAATTTCATATACGAATGAGACTTTGTTTCAGAAAATAGTTTTAATATGCCCATGATTTTAGAACATTCATGCTTTTCTATTATAAAATTTGAAAGTTGAAAGTAATATAATATGTCACTCGTAACATCGTAAAATACTGATAGAATCTTTGAAAATAAAATATTCAGATTTTATACACTTTATTATACATTATTTATATCAACTATTAACTATTAATGTTGGTAGAAATTAATTTTTTCGTTTAATGTACATCAAAAGAAAAGCTTAATATGTTGCTATAAAATTACATTAAACTTCAAATCGGCAGTTTTTTAGAACTTTGTAATAAAGTAATTTATGATAAACATTTTATTACTGATTATTTTATGTAAATTATATCAATTTTGTGAAATGTTTCTTGATTTTTTCTAAAAAAATTGTCACCCTTTTTTTAATTGAATTAATTAATTTTTAATTGTTTCCTTATTTGATCATGTTATGATAAAACTAAGAACAATAAGGTCATCGATATCATATAAATGTTCAATACATAAATTGTATCTTTCTTCTTTAAATTTCGTATCATTATTTACGGAAATATTAATGATAAGACGAGTGAACATATAGATGAAGTTCTAATTTTCCTTATAACCAAAATTTTGAAAGATTAATCAGTACACCAATGCCAACTGAAGTATCTCAACATGTTACTTATATTGAGCGTAATAATTAGTTTAATTGTATGCAATGGTAAGCTTCAACTCAATTTTTTGTGTGTAATGATACATTTTTCTATTTCTCTTAAGTGAAAAGAATTTTTTGAGATAAAAAATAATTATTTTTATGTACAGTTAGAGCTCGTATGAATGGCGAAGAAATTGTGGGTGGCGTAGCAACAGAACGCCATGAGATCAAATACCAGATTTCTATGCAAGTTTTGGGAATTGAATGGTGTGGAGGAAGTATCATCGATGAAAAGTTCGTATTGACAGCCGCTCATTGTGTTGTAGATGAAGACAATGAATTTCTGATTCATTATCCATTTAAAGTTGTGGCCGGGATAAATGATGTTAATGATGAAGATGAGGATAAGATCGAAGTTGACGTTGAGAAAATTTATATTCCTGCTACCTACAGTAAACAAACGAAAACTTCTGTAGGTGATATTGCCGTGGTAAAGGTAATATAACGATTTTATAACTAGAATAGAACTAAGAGAACTATCGTGAATGTTGAGTGATGAGGATATTATTAGGTATATTTTTGAACTTAATTAAGCCCTTTTAATATTACTGATTATTAAAAATTTTAGAAAAATTTTAATGGTTTCATGATGTCCAAATTTTAGTTTATAAAATATCTCCTGATTTCATCAGATGAATTAATAAAGAATAATTTATAAGATAAAATTTCATCATTTCAGGTGAAACAAAAATTTGATTTAGGACCCAACTCTAACTTAAAAAAATTAGCATTACCACCATCCACTGAGAAACGACTCACATGCATGAATTCATACGTTGATACTGAACCTCTGATTTCTGGTTTTGGTTGGGATGAAGTTACCTTGATTCCCCATCAAACTGCCGATAATAAAACCAAATACGAAGAAGATGGTACAGCAAAAGGCAAATTACTCAAGGCAAAAGCTTTAGTAATTGCTAATTCAGAATGTCAAATCTTCTACAAGAAGTATGTGATTCACGACAGTCAAATTTGTGCTAAACTTATACAACATCCTGTAAATGTACATCAGGGCGTATGTTCGGTACGTATTTTTAGCGTTGTTGCATCGTTAATAGCTAGTTATCTGATTTTATATTGTATTTATAGGGGGATAGTGGAAGTCCTCTTGTATTGAAGGATGTTCAGATAGGATTAGTGAGTTTTAATTATCTTGGTTGTAATGACAGAAAACGACCTGCTGTTTACACCAGAATATCGGCATATATTAATTTTATTAATAAAGCCAAAAGAGATAACGTCACTGTAGACATGCGTTCTCAAGTTTGGTCTGATGATACCTAAACGTATTACAATTTTTTAATTTTCTTTCACTTCAATAAGAAATGTTATATTCCTTTAATCTAACAAGTTTCACTTTTCTACTTCAATTTGACAACTTACTTATACTAAATAAATAAAAACCATATCATATCAAAGAAAAGATTATTAAACTTCTGATGAAAAAGTCGTGATTTAAAAATAGTGTCAGCTTCTCTTGTCATGTCAGGTAAGATAATGTTACGCTTGTCGTGCAAATAGCGTTGCTGCTGAAAAATTTGTTTTCAGAATCCCTAAAAATCATCCCATTTAACATAATGCAATAATTTCTAGAGACCTTGGGAAAAACTTTTCGAGCTACAACGCTGCGTGCAAATTTTCCCCGTTTTTCTAATTAAAACCACATAATCGGGTACAAGTGTGAGCTTTTCAATTTTTTTTATTACATCGCAATCGACTTTCATACCTTTGTTTATCACTCCAAGAATTTTATCGTAGAAATCTGATGGATCATCAGAGTCTCATTTTTGGGTAATCTTGACTTTTATGTACTTTACTTTGATACTTGGTGCTGTACTATTTTGTTCGGTAATGCCAAAACCAGAAATAGCTTTAATAGAATCTTTTCAAAGGTTTTATGCTTTACATATTGTTGTTGGCTCAAACCCGTAAATAATAAATAATGTAACTGAAAATAAATAATAAAATTTTGTTAATAAAGCTTGATACCGAGCATAGACATATTAAAAATTTATGATTTCCTTTTTTAAATATTCTTCGGAATAAATTCTCACATCATAATTTACCGCATTAAACGACTTGCAAAACAGATTATTTGTGGCTGTATAAACATTGACTAGCGTCACTTAGTGCGCAATAAAAATATCATAATTCCGTTATCTCTCCTTTGATTCACAATTTAACGTCATAATATTTCCAAAAATAAGCTTAATGTAGGCTAAATATCAGATACAGTAAATGCAAAAAAGACAAAGTATAAAATTCTTGGATGACTTATTCTGTGATTTATTAAAAAATGAATTTGCTTATATCATAACATTGTCAATGTTCGAGTGATATTCATGTCGATAATTCTTCGGAATGAAAAATTTATATACTCATATGTATTCGATGATTCTTCTTTATTTAAGTTGCTCATTCCGGCTACAATCTTAATACTATCATTGTTGAAATCTAAAACCTGACACTATTTTCGATATGAAACAATGAACAGCTGTTAATATTAATTTTTTTACAACAACTATTAATTTGTTTAAAAAATTTGTGTAGTTCAAAAACTTGTAACTTACATAGAAACAAAAACATATGAAGTTCGATTACAATAACTAGCATTACATCGTTAATTATAGGAAAATTTTATTCGTGAAAAATTTCGATAATATGAGGTTTGGTTTGAGTAATACTCAAATCAATTACAGATTGTCACTTAGAAAAAGAAATTCAATGTATATTGTATTATCATAAATCCAAAATTAACTTGACTTATGTGCTTTAATACTTAATTAACTTTTTTGGTAAGTGAATATATACAGCACTAGTTTCTCTATCTCTCAGCATTGAACATTCATAATTTTATTGAAGAATTGTTCATCAAATCTGTGGCGATAAGTACTCACAACTGTGTAACTAACCTTAAATGTCAATTCAACATGAGCCGTATTCAATTGTTGTTCTGTTTGTTATAGTCCTGTCCGTTGTCTTTATCCTTGATGCGTAAGTTTTCGATAAACTATTTTTCAATGAATATTTGAAGGTCACCTCTAAAAATGATTTCAGTAGACGTGCATCTTTAGGGTGAATTATAATCAATAGTTGCACTGCCGAAGAAAGTGATTATTGCTACCAAATATCTCTTCAAGAAGATCAAAGTATCTGTGATGAAAGTATCTTTAACAATTGCTTCGTTATCACTGCAGAATTATGTCATCAATGAGGAAGGTGACTTCACTGGCTATTCTATGAAAATTATTGTTGCTATTAACAACTACAGATCAAAGCACCGTATTGCCATTTATATTATTAAAATATATGTACCAGAGAAGTACGATGCTTTACCCTAATATACAGTCGACCACTGATCGACAACTGGTAATATTATTGTTCTTAAGGTAAAACTTATTTCTCATGGGGTGAAGAAAATAAAGTATATTTTGAACAAAATCTTTTACTATAATAAACCGTGTGGAATTTCATCCAGTTTTAACTTTCGCTCAATGGAGATACCTGATGATGATGAGACTTACGCCAATATTAAAGCTATCGTCAGTGGCTGTGGTTGGGGCAAAGTTGGTGTTCTGAAACATCCAGTGTTACGCATCAGTACCGCTTGCCAGAAAGTTTATCCTGATCTGATCAGTTTTATGCTGTCTCTGAACAAAACATGTCTTTGGACGGTCTGGTGATCGGTGGTTTTTCTCTTTCTATTGTGTATGCTAAAAATGACGTATTAGTATCATCTTAGCACTCAGCAATTTTGAGTGAAAAGGAGCTGTGAGCTACTAGATTTGAGGCTTGTGGAGATCCTTAGATCGTTTGAGAATCTTCGCATGCATTATCAAGAATTTGCAAGATACGCGTTTCTTGAGTAATAACGCAAGTTTGTCTGGACAAAGACTCGATGAGTTGGTGCTTGCATTGGTACGAGTTGCACAGTATGCTGTAGCAAAATCGATGTACGCTTTGGATTTTCTCTTTGCAGATGAATTTCATGTATCGAAATGCGACGTAATAAAGAGATACACTTATTTATATTAATGAAACTGTATGTTTGTGTATGCGTATTTGTTTGCATTTTTACACAGATTCCATGTTACCATTCTCACTTTCTTTGGGATTGTCACTCATATTTCCTTTCGTAGCTTGAGCACATTTGTCTCTCAAATTCTCCTTTCTAAATAATTTATAAGGTGATTACAGATACCCTTTGGCAAAATAATTTTCATTTCACAATATTACAAAAAACAACGTGAAATATACAAATTCTAACTTTGTTTACCATTTCTAATTTAAACATAAGTAAGAAATATACTTTATTAATTTATGCATTTGTGTATGCAACTTTTTAATGACAAGTGAAGAAACATTAAACAACAAATGATTAATCCTTATCGGAATTCAAATCCATTCCGCTTCATTTAAAATAATACATTGCTCAAGTTGAATATATATATATAAATATATATATATATGCGGTAAAGCGTTTCAACGACATATAAATGGAAAATTTGTGGGTATTTTGATAAAAAATGTTGAAAGAACATAGATATTATTAAAATCTCCATATTATTTTTATTTTCTGAGAAATGACAATCAATGCTCACGTGTAATCGATAACAGTGGTTATGGGTGTGCTGTTGTGTTTTTTGAGACGTGAAGAAAGTATCGAAGCTGCTCTTTAAACTCGTGTTTATAGTTTCGGACAGTTTTTATGGAGAATGTGGTGTGACCGATGATGAATAATAACAATGAAAAACATGTAAACATTGACAAATAAAATAATTTACACAAATTTAATTGAATCTTCTGCTACATGCCTATCATACATTTTCAAATTAATTGATAAAATCAATTTTATTCGATCCTTAAGATCAGCAAATTCATAATCATTACAAGATAAATAAAATATTGTACGTCATGCATACTAAATAGTATTTTCACATGATTGATATCTCTGGCGCAATAAGTTAATTGTTGTGGTACTTTTTATGTATACAAGACACGATATTAATTAGAATTCTGATTAGCACATTGATAAAATATTATCTCAAAATATGCAAGGATGTTTCGAAAATTGTTATTCTCATCGCATCAAACAATTCGTTATCAATTATCTTTGAAATTAACGTGATCATAATGTTCGCAACGAATATTTAATGAATATTTAATAAATTTGACGTCAAATGCATTGAATATAAAAGAACTTCTGTTAGCTTCCAAAATATACATTTCACAAAAATGAGCCGGATTCAATTGTTCTTCTGCATTTTTGGCTTTATAGCCACAACCATCTTCACCGGTAAGTACTTGTACTCCGAATTTCGCTATGCCGGTATTTCAACACTTGCTTATAACTTCCGTAGCTGAAGCGTCGTTGTCGGGTGAAGGAATTGTCGGCGGTTACAATGCTAAAGAAGGCGAGTTTCCGTACCAAATTTCTCTGGATATGTATGGCTATAATATCTGTGGTGGTAGCATCATTGGTGAACGTCATATTGTCACTGCTGCCCATTGCGTCATTCTAACCAACGGAACATTCCGTGATATTCCATTAAAGGTTGTTGCTGGTATTATTGATCTTAAATCAAGAAGTACGAAGAGAATCGTTGTCGATGTTATCAAAGCAACTGTACCTAAGGAATATATTTCACAGAAACATATTCGAAGTATCGGTGATATCGCTGTACTCAAGGTATGATTAATATTTCACGTCCAAAAAATACAATGAACATTATCTTTTTCATTATAATTTAGAGATTAAAGTCTATTTGCATAAGGATGAATTCTTATGATCTACAAAATACATTTATTTCTCAGCTTAGCAAAAACCTGGGACTCGCAAATAACTCGCACATTAGCAAAATCAATCTACCCCTCACAAACAGTACATATGCAGGAGTTAAAGCAGTGATCAGTGGTTTCGGCCTGAACAAAGTTGATGTAGCAATTGATACTCGAACTGGAAGATATATCGAGAAAAATGGTGTGCTATACAATAAAATGCGTTACGCTGAAGCTAATGTTTTGTCACAAGCTGCTTGTCAGAAATATTTCTTTGATCCTATCAATACTAAACACATTTGCGCTGGTCTCGTTCAACGTTACCGCAGCGATCCTGAAGGCGTCTGTTCTGTAAGAATATATTTGTGAGACTTTTCAATTAAAAGAATATTTTTAATCTATTACTAACATTTAAATAAATTTCATAGGGTGACAGTGGTGGTCCACTTGTTTATAAAGATGTTCTCATCGGTGTGGTTAGTACCAGTCCATTGGGATGTATCGAGAATTTACAACCAGCTGTGTACACTAGAGTTAGCAAATACGTAGATTTCATCTATAAAGCTGTTCAAGACATAACGGATAATACCATGAAATCTAGTTATTTACCATGGGTAAATAACTAGATGGGTTAACTTAAATTAAATGGGTTAACTTAATCAAAAATTATTGTTGATTTAGAAATACATAATCGTAATCGACAAATTGATTATTTATATTGACACCTTTTCCTGATTAGCACATTTGATTAGAATATAATTGTATTTTCAAATATAGTAAATTTCACATATTATTACTATTTATTTTGATAAATAACGCTTTTCAAATGTCAGCCGTTCAAAATAATTTCACTTAAACTACGTCATATTATGTATTGACTTTTGGATAATGTCAATAAGCTACCTCATTTTGCGATTGTGCGTAATTTATTGTTACGCCACGCAAATTCATATTACTTATCGCTAATGTGAATGAAGTGTCTGTTGTTGTTAATTTTAAACTCTCTTTAATTATTAATTATGGTTAATTTTATAGTATAAAGTTTAATTCTTGGAATAGAAACGTGTTCACTTTTACATTTACTCAAATTGAGATTGTAATGAGGAGCGGCGTCAACAATAAACTGATATTTTAGAATACTTCGCCTCATTAGTATTATTAATTAATTATTTTAAATATTGAAAAGTTCTTATGCTGCGATAATCATGTTTTCTACAGAAAATATTTTAATCAATGTACTTCTAACCGCGTAGTACACGCAATATTATCGATAGGGTATAGGCCAGCTAGAGGTAACTCACATACCAATTTTTCACTGTAAGTAAACGGAAATGGACAGATATACGGAAGTGGAATTATCGGCAAACATTTCGTACTGATAGGTGGGCATTACAACCATAAGTCAGTTTATGACTGCACACTTCAATATGGTCTTTGATACAACGTTTTTAAGCATTTTCTGTACGATATAGTCTCCTTCATCTATTAGTTTCGACTGTATGGAGATACAAATTCCAATCGTCATAGTACGATGGTGAGCCAGAATCCGCCATATCTTGCACGCTGGGGAATTTGAAATCCGCGCTATATTCACGCGCACGCGCAAAAGTTTCACGATGAGCAAGAGCCACGGTGACTCAATAAATAGAATACCGGTATCTCGTGTGGATTTCCGGAGTTCGATTCCCAGCGGGTACCAATAGCTTTTTTTGAGAAAAAATATATGTGCCAAAATTAATACCGTGACTGGTAGTTCGAATTCCAGCTTAAGCTGTTAGTCCAGTATCCAAATTAGTATTCCGGGTATTATAGGATCTCTGTCACTCCTGCCGGAAAAGCAACCAAATGATTACGTAAAAATAGTTGAAATTTTTCTCGAGATGAACTCGTTTTCTTTCATAACTTATAATAAAAATTATGCTTACGTGCCGGTATACCAGCTCTCGGTTAAAGAGCTACCGCTATTCAATAAACTTAAATTTAAATCTTCATAGCAGCTGGCGCTGATAGCACGGCGATAAAAGTGTACACGCATAGCTGCGAGAGGTTGGTAAAGGTGCATTAGGCTCGATTGAAATCGAATTTGCGCCCTTCGTGCGAGTCGTTTCGATCAGAGCACAAGATAAACGCTCTTTTCAATATTGGAATAGACGGCGCTGACGACGGCAGCATGACATATTGAGCCAATCAAATAAAAGTCCTCGAAGCTCGGGGAGGGGACCAGCAGACGAGAAATCCAACGTCGCGGTCTATTCCCTACCAATTTCGCTGCCGTCCAAACGTTCTCGTTGCGCTACTATGAAGAACAGAAAAAGGACATCATAGCCGTTGCAAAGTGCCTGGGTTCGAACGGCCTCGAGGAGCTGGTGAGTTGACCTCACTGAGTTGGTGCTCGCGACTGGAGACTAGGGTAGCCGACTTCTTAATTTAAATAATAATCCGAATCTCTGAATCTTCGCCCTGTCAGCTGTCGCGGATGGGTTATGATGGGCTAACACTTAAGTCTGTATCTACACGATACTGGTTCAATTTATCGGCCATAAACATTTCACTTCGAACTTAAGTAGCACATGCGACACTAGCTGTATTACACTGTATTTCACCGACCTTCGTTAATCAACAGACCTAGTAATATCGAGCACACAATTGATTAGGACTTTCGCGTAACACCCTTTGTACAGGTGGTATACATGGTGGCCAATACAACAATAGATGCAATTCTCTCGTAACATCGACCGATGTCCGCTCGTTCCCGATGCTAACTCCCTTTTTCCGCCGAACGGATTAGCTGGCTCCCAATGAATAATTTAGCCATGAGCCGCTTACTGATGTTACTGGTGACAGCCGATTGCGAAAAATAGTACGACTTTCTTTCTTTTCTTTCTTTCCAGCTGTCATAATAGTTATAATACAAAATTCGTGGTAATAGATTAATAGCGAACGAGCGCGTATGTAATTTATATTTCACTTTATTCAATGAAAATTTTTTTACCAATGCAGCTATTCTACAGCCACTCTTAGAAGATGGCAACGATAAGAAACACAAAAAACAATCATCGACTGGAGGATATTGTCCTCATGAAGAATTCCGAATTAACAAGAAAGATACTCGAAAAGTCGACCTTTCGATGCAGCTCAGAAACAATCGTTATGAAACGAGCAATAGAAACACGAGACATTGAAAATCTTAGAATTCTTCTTCATCATGGACGAGGTTGGAAAACGAGACGAGCGATTTTCGAACGTGAAATTTGTCGATTGATCGACTCTGATTTGAAATCAGTAGAATTTATTGTAGAGCACTTACCAAATTTGGATGTTATCGACGAACATTTCATAATCAAGTTGAGACATTTATTCGAGCAAGGTACCCACGAAATTGTAGAAATGTTATTGAAATATAGTATCGATCTGCACGTAAAAGACAAATTCGGAATGCAATTATTGGTGAGCGCGTTTGGGAATTCTAAAGTGAACGCGATCGAGTTGTTTGAGAGTCGAAATTTGGATGTGCACGAGCAAGGTGTTTCAGGCGAAACTGCTTTACACTCTGCTGTGGATAATAACCTTGTGAAAAATGTTAAATTCTTATTGGATCACGGTGCTGATCCAAACTCACAAGATTGCGTTGGATGGACGCCAATGTTCGTCGTTAAGAGTATCGAATGCATGGAACTCTTGTTACAGTACGGTGCCGATCTACAGCATAGTGACAAAGATGGGTATACTATTTTCGATTCGATTCAATCTTCTTCAGATATAATCACGCAAGCTGCGTTAGCTAATCTTGCTATCGAAGAAGCTCGTGGTAAGCCTGTTCGACAAGTAATTCACGACAGGATTCACTTAACGGAAAATTTCAGAGTTTTTTACAAGAACTGTCGCCGGGAGATCAAATACATGAAAAAAGTTTTTGGCGCCGACAATGTGTTCTTAATTCTAAGCGGTGATACTGAGAAAGTATTCCATCATGTTTTGAAATCTGACATTATTTTCTGTCTTTTAAATCAAATACGTTCGATGAATGGTTACATGTGTTCTATGTTTGAGAAAAAATTGAATAGAATTGCTAATACGTATAATGTGTATCAAAATGCTGCCATGCTTGCTGTTAAAAGTAACGATATATTTGATCCTTATCGTTCGATCGCAGCCAAAATAGTTATTTATTCAATTATCGAAGATTTACTAGTGTTTTTCTTGATTGTCTTTAACAGTATTAGAATCTTCATTTGGTGATCCAAAGCTACAAAATAACGTTTATGCTAACGTTACATTTTATTTTGTTTTATTTTATACTACTTACTCATTGTATTTGTATATATAAATACAAACAGTCAAAGCTCATGATATTTTGTAAATAAAGTGATTTTTTCATCGAATAGTAGTACTGAACTTATATGATATTGTCCCTTTTTAAATATTGTTTGCCGAGTAATAATTTATTTGAACCGTGTAATGTTTAATTGTATTAAACAGTCAACACTTCAATTTTCTACAATTTCTGGATCATGAAAGTACCAATATTATTAATTCTATCTTTAAAAAATGAGTTGCTGACGTCCAGTATTGTGATTGGTTAATGCTAAAAAAGAGTATACTTTAAAATAATTTTATTATATATCTAGGCATATAAAATTTATATTTCAGCAGTCAATTCAATTTATAAATAATTAATATAGATAATCAACTGCAAGAATGGAAATATGCTGTTAATAAATCGGTTTGAGAACGTAATACGTTATGTTTTGAAATTATCAGTACAAATCATTAATTTTATAACCATCTGTGATACTGAAATTAATATCGTCGTATTAAAATTTGGTAGAAAAAGAAAGAAAATGAATAGAACAAAACAGAGAAGAATACATATTTATCTTTTGTACATTGTAAATTAAGACGGACGCGAATAACGGAAACTAATTATCAAAATATTAAACTCGGAAGATTATTCACAGGTATATTCATAATCACTACTATTGAATATATAAGTTTAGTGTTCTATAATAGTACAATAGCTTTGACGCACTTAGGTTGAGTTAATCTTTAAATAATTTTTCCGATATATCTTAAAATGAGTAAATATTCATCGGTTTTTGTGAAAAAATAGGTGCAAGTGCTATCTTTATTCATCAATGAATATTGATGTATGTAGTCTATTTTAAACGTATTCGTGCCCATTAGAATCTCTAAATTGGCATATAAAAAGTTCTAATAATGTAATAAATAACAGAAAAACAAAAGAAAGAGCGCGCGAAGTGCGCTAAATAACATTAGTAGTGATAATAAGTTTAAAAAACATAAATTAAGACATATTATTTGTATTATATTTTTGTTTTTCTCTAACGAAATTAAAATCTATTTAACTGCTATTAATGTTGCTGAAACAAATAAACAATACTTAAATTTACAAATAAATTTATTAGAACCATGATGTAATTGAAATCGAAAACGTGCTTATATCACGAAAGTTCAAAATAAATATAAGCAAATACAATTTACAAAGTAAATATATAGCATAAAATTGAACTATGATTGAATCTCTTAAACACGTTCTGAGATGACCAATTGTTTCTTCATACATTTTTCAAGCTCAGTTGCAAGTTTATCATCGTCGTTACCTTTCAGTACTCTCTTCCGTCTACGATAACGTTTGCTTTTATGCTTTTCCTGGTACCCGGTGAACTTGATTTTACTTCTGACAGTCAACGTTGGTTTCTTGAATTGGTTGCTGAACTGGATGTTCATTTTACGACCTTCAAGCGGTACGCCATTGTAGTGCATCATCGCCTGCGAAATGTAAAACCGTGTAAGTTGGTTATTTTGAATTTGAGAAAAGGTATAAGTAAACTTCTTACCTTAATAGCATCCAACCGTTTCTCAAAAAGAACATCGGCATATCCCATCGACTTACCCAACTTACTACACTGTACTTTAGCAAATACCAATGGTCCAAATCGACTGAACAACTCATGCAGACGTGAGTCGGTGATAACATCATCTAAATTCGATATAGTAAGTTTTGTTAGCTGTAAAGTTGATGATCTTAAAAAAGCTTGACGTATACGTGATTTTAGAAATTCTGAATTACACGAAGAGGTAGTTCGACAAATGCCTCCACGACCAGAGCCACGAATGACTTTGCCACCTGGTTTGTGACTTTTTTCATCTTCATTGGGGTGTTTGTCTTTTGTCATCTGGTCGCTGTTTGCCATATCAAGTTATTTTGATAATGGCCTTTTTTGAACTGATAATTTGAATGATTATGTAAATAAATAAAAAATAATTAATACTTCACCATACAACATCATAACGTTATTCAAACCAAATAAAATTTTAGGCACAATAAAAATCATTAATAATAATAAAAGTATAACTTGAGCAATCGTTTATAGAAACAGTTTTGATAATTTTGATCAATTATATATTACAATTAATAAAAATACTTACATGACAAACGTAGAAATGCTGTATGAAATATTTTTGAGTAATCAAAAAAAATGCCTTTTAACTGATTTCGGCAGCTTGCAATCAAAACTAATGCATTGAATAATCCAATCAATGAGAGTTAACATGTAGGCACTATAGAAGAACAAGCGACTGATTGATGGGCACGTTGAGGCAAGCAATCATAAATAAATTTTACGCGTTATATTTCTGAAGTTGAGAATTATAAAACTCTCAACTTCAGCTATAAAACTCTCAACTTCGGAATGCATTACAATCTTCAGTATAAACATGAATAATCTTATACCAGCTTAGTGTCTTAAGCTGACTAGTGGACGTTTCGTAATATCCTTTAAGTCTATTCCTTCGGTTATCTCCTATTTCATAAAATAATCTTAAAAGTATCTTTACTAAAATAAACATAAAAATTGCAACAGTTGCGACTATTTTTCTCTAACTCAAGTGTAAAAAATGCTAAGCGGTAATATTTCATTTTATATGTAAATGTTAGTATTGTAAATGTTCATTTGTAGAATAAGCTAAAAGTAAAATCAGTTTTTGAATTTTAAATTATCGTTATTAATGGTAATTTATGCACTTGTTTATTCATTAAATAATTCTATGTATATAAGGCGTCAAAAATGCTTTTTACAACGCCAAAGAAGCTCTAATATCATATACATCAGACAATAATTCGTATTTTCACTTAACAATCAACAACTAAATAATCATCGTTTTATTTGTTTCTTCGTTGCAGGAAAGAAAATAACCCTCCGCGTGGTTAAAAAGTTCATGAGATTAAAGTGAAACATCAAGCTGAAAGTGATAATACGACAGGTGAATCAATTAGATTCAACTGGCGATCGTGGCGCAACTGTACTACATTTAGCATCCAAGCACAACAACGCAGACCTCGTCAAGTTTCTCTTAAGTATAAGTTACGAGTGGAGCATTAACAACATGAGTGTAACAATACCATTTCTGATTGCTGCATCTTATACAACGGTCTCAGTGCGTTGGAAATCTTGCTAGATATCAACGATGACATTTTTATCCAAACACTGAAAGGTAAATCACTGCGACAAGTAATCCGTGATAAGAAACATGAAATGCCGACAAATATAATCATTGATTTACACAAATATTTGTGAAAAAAATTCAACGATGCCGACAGAATTGTCACAATGAATTTCCTTGTTATCATTTTACTTCAGCTCTATGGACAATAAGGAATATATCTCCCCATCCATCGTAGATTCAAACTTCAATAGAAGTATGTACGAAGAAGCTGAAAGAAGCTACAGAATTGGATGAAAGTTGGCAGTGACATTTCTCACGGACATTGTTAAAAGTTGCGCCCAGAAACGAACACCTACACTGAAAGTAAAAATACTATTTCAGAAGTATTTTTTCATATGAAAACTTCTAAACTTCAAAAAGAAAATGAATTCATTTTTTATTATTTGCCACACACACGCGCGAGCGAAGTGAGAAACCGAATTGATCAATAGCTTTTTCGCGATTTTTTTAGTGGTTATTTACTTCCAGCGTGTTTAAAGTATGCTTCATGATAAATTTAAAAACCACCATGGATCCTACGTCAAAAAATGTAACGAAAACACATATCATATCTTTAGAAGTGATTTAATGTATCTCTTAACTTTTGAAAAACAATTGCCAGTTATTTTCGGTAACTTTTAACCGAACTTTTATAATTTTTTTCTAATAAAACTTCTTTTAGCTTGATGATTATCATATGTGCTATCATTTTACTTTGAAATGTATCTACACTTCTTAGAAGTTGTATAATTGTAACGAGCACTTGAATACTGTGCAGGTTTGCGTTCATCTACACTTGTTAGAAGTTGTATAATTGTAACAAGTACTTGAATACTGTGCAGATTTGCGTTAATTTTGTGTAAATGGCCAAAAAAACGAAGTTGCAGTAAAATTTTTCATTGTTTACAAGAATTTTTTTATTGTTTATGATCCACATAACAAGAGAAATCTTGTTAGGTAGCAGTAATACTGAAATAAGTATATACATTACTAAAATTCTACAGAGCTTACATGAACTTAGTCCTTGGAATAATAATAGCAATCATTATGTTTCTATCTGTATATTTAAGAACAATAAAGACTTTGATAAAATCACAAAACGTATGTACATTTTTATTTGCATTTTAATCACTTATTTCATTAGGTTCTGGTACATTTGGAATGGATAATAGCCAGATAATACCCAAAAATACCTAGAGTGAGATATATAAGGCAAACATTGAAATTTTGTAGATATGAAGAAAAAAGAGCTTACATTATTTCATACGCCCGTAACAATGATTACGAGACACACCACGACTTTGCTTGTTCGTATTTTAAGAGCATTATTTAGATATCATAATTTATTTGTTATCACAAACTAGAAAACTTAAATTCCAAATAATAAATATTAATTTACAGATTATATGCTGTTTGGTCATATCTGATGCAGCGATCATCAAGAGGCGTTCCAAATTCGACTTTCCAACAAATCTTATAGGCTTGAATGACACTGCTGAGTAAGTATTTCCGTTGATAACTACTGATTGTTTCCATTAAATTATTTTTTTTATTAATTTCAGAGAATGGTTGAATCCTTACGTAATGACTTACGATCTTGCTGACTTTGGTAAGGATTTGTTTGATGGTATGGCTCCACGGCATATTGTAGATGCTTTAGTTAATGCAACTACTTCGGATGATCCAATGACAAACCAATACACTGAACCGTCCGTAAGTTTGTATTAGTTCATCTCCACTCTCATCAACTTTACATTGTATCTCGCTTTATCGATCATTGCAGTCTATATATCCTTTCACGTGTGAATAAAGCAATTAAACCATCTGTTTTCCTTTCCGTCAGGGTACACCGAGATTACGAGAAGCGATTGCTAAAGTTTTTTCACCTCTAATTGGACAGGAATTAAAAGGCGAAGACAATGTATTGATAACAGTGGGCGCTACCGAGGCTCTTCGAATAGCGATTTTCAGCCACACAGTTCCTGGGGATGAGTGGATCGTCATCGAGCCTACTTACATTAAATATATACCAGATATTAAAATGGCTTGGGGTGTACCGAGATTGTCACCTTTAAAATTGGTAGATATATTGCAGAATTATAGGTTGAATTTTATTTACTGATCGTAGGTAAAAGATCGATCAAGTTTTACTAGGTCAGATGAAGTACAACTTGATCGAATAATCCAATATAATCAACCTCTTCAGTGGTACTTCTTTTAGAAAAATGGTTAACTATGAGTGTAATCTTGAATAATTTATTAAAATCAGGTCACAACTCATGGGACGATTAGCGGAGATGACTGGGTCATTGATAAAGAACAGTTGGAAAGTTTGTTCAATAAAAAAACCAAAGGTATTATGCTGAATAATCCGTTAAATCCTCTCGGAAAAGTATACAAACTAGAGGAATTGGAATTCATTGCCCACTTGGCCAAAAAATATGACACAATAGTTATCAGTGACGAAGCCCATGAATGGATGACTTTTAAGCCACACATTAGAATGGGTATGCATATGAAACAATTGGACTAAAAAAATTTACTTTAGTAGAAAACATTAAATGGTACATTTATTGTCTACAGCATCGCTACCGGGAATGTTCGAACGAACCATCACAATCGGCAGTGCAAGTAAAAGTTTCAGCGTGTCTGGATTCAGAGTCGGTTGGGCTTACGGTCATCCAAACATCTTGAATCACTTGAAAGTCGCACATTTGCCGAATGTCGCTTGTTCGCCTTCGCATTCACAGGTACTTCAATTGTCAATTTTGCTATAATAATGAGAAAATGATATATATGTATATATATGATAATTTTTTCAATAGTACGCTATAGCCTATGCTTTCGAGGAAGAAAGTCGCAATTCCTCATTTTTCGCGACTCACGCACAAACGGTAAAACAGGAACGAGATATGATGGTGAAAATGCTTACAGAGGCAGGTATAATTCCTGTTGTTCCCGATGGTGGATTTTGTATGATAGGCAACTGGTCACCGTTGCGACAGAAATTACGTGGAATTAACACTGCCATGGATTTTATCATTTGGATGATTAAGAACATTGGTGTACTCGGTTGGCCACTTGAAATGTTCTATGGAGACGAGCATAAATACATGGCCCGTGATTATATACGATTTTGCTTTCATAAGGTATGGGTGATGGAAATGTTTAATATTTTGAGTGGAATTTTTATATTTATTTGATACACTTTCTTCATTCAAATAGAATATCAGTACTCTTGAGAAGGGCGCACGAAATTTTAAGAAGTTCGCTGATCTGCTGTAAACGACGTCTCTTGACTATTCCAAGTGTATAAATTGCATATATGCACTTGAATTATATGTTGATAAATAGTCAGAAGTGAAAATAAAAATCGAATAATCACGCTATTGAATTTGGACGCTTGTAGAAAGTATTTGTGAAAATGTCCGTTCGGTGCGGTTGTCCATCTTATGTCTAAGTTCTTAGTCTATTAAAAAATTATTACAAAACTCTTTTTTTGCGCCAATTGGACGATGTATGCTTAATTTCACCCGTCCTGACATACAATCATCTGATAGACACCTTCTATAGAGTATGAAAATAACATTTTATCATTAATTTCACAACAATTTATCATTAATATTTGTATTCTTTCTAGTTAAATAGCGCGGTAGTTTAGTTATTAAGATATTTTAATTATAGCTTCGGTTGATCGTTTTTTCGGATGTAACGAAGATAAAATATCAGCTATTTATTTTCAAGTTGAATTTTTTTATAAATTTCATCAAGAATGCTAATGATGATGAAAATTTGACTGAAATGTGTGTTACTCAATTGTCTGTTGAATACGAATTGACTGCTGATGGTCTATTCTTCAAATGCGAGTCATTATTGGAACTAATTGGAAATTTTAATTTTATCGCATTTATTCTAACGACTTCGCTGATAAATGTACCCAACTTATGAAACTTTGATATTGAAAAGAAAATTTTATAAAATATCATTTAAAAATGTTTTGGTGTAAACTACCAATTACTTGTGGCCAAATTTTACCGCCATTAGTTAATGTTTGTTAACAATTTGTTAACAAATATTAACATATTTGTATTATCTGTCTTCGATTTTTTGAACGCGTTTGTCATATTACAATATCAAATTACTATAAACTAATAGATAGTTGTCGATTATTCATTGCTTTTTAATATTCTCGGTGAATAAATTACACATTTCAAATTCAATAAAGTTTAATCAAGCATATTACGGACAATATAAAAACCGTCTATTAATTACAATTTTCCACTGCTTCTCGTCGTTGACATTTTAAGCTCCGAATGTAGGAAACTTTTTTTTATCGTAGTATGTGTAATCACTATATATGTTGGGATCACGTCTTCTAATGTTTGACGATAATCACTTATCACAATTGATTAAATAAATGACTCCCGAATCCGTAGTGTTTTCGACGTAATTTCATTCTTTTACCATGTGACATCAGTATAAGTAGAGATGACACTTACCGAAGTCAAGAAAATTAAATACTATATTTTATTGTTATCAATCAACGTTAATTTATCAAACAATTATTGTGTTTGTAGTAAATTTTTTTACATTATTCATTGATGTCATTGTAGTAGCTATCAATATAAAATCCGTTCTTACGTAATATCAGATTTACAAATGCATGAAATCGGCGCATATAATTTCATTGAAAAACAGTAATAAATCTAATTTTATCGACAGTCAAAGTGAATACAAAAATTAATTTAAAAACATAATAATTTATCTCCTTTCAATAGGAACGAGCTTAACGTAAATAGGGTTCTCGGGTCGTACGACCATATCTAATTTTAGACGTATGTTTGCTGCTGTATCAATAGGTATCAAATGAAAATTGTACACTAGTTCAGCCATGAATGTCTTCAATTCTAACATTGCAAACTTCTGACCTAAAATATTAAATGGTTTATTATCAATTTAGTATTCGAGCATAGATACGCGCGCGCGCGCGCATGTGTGTGTACCAATGCAATTGCGTGGCCCAGCACTAAATGGTATGTAAGCGAATGGATGTCGACTAGCACAATTATCCGTTGTGAATCTTTCGGGATCGAATTTATCTGGTTCAGGCCAATAATTTGGATCTCGGTGAACCGAATAGATGTTTACTTGAAGAATAGTGCCTTTAGGAACAAGATAATTAGCTGAAATTAAATGTAAATGTTATAAAATGTTGAAATATTTCTGTTAAAAATAAATACATTTATTTACTGAGTTGTAGATCTTCTTCGATACTGCGCGATATGAACTGAACACTTGGATACAGACGTAAACACTCTTTGATGCACATCTCGAGATAGCTACAGCGTTGAATCTCCACTATTCCTAGTCTTCCATTATTTTCATTGCGCGATCGGATAATTTCATTACGAATACGCTCCTGGGAAAAACAATCGTTAAAAAAGTGATTTAGACTGTTCAAATCTATATTTGACTCACTTGTACGTCTGTATGTTCTGCTATTAAAAGCATAATGAAACTTAGCGCCATGGCCGAAGTGTCGTGGCCCTGAATTATTAGCAAGTAATTAGATGATCTGCAACTTAAAAGTAACATTGACCTACTTCAAATGTAAATGTGTCCACTTCTTCTTGTATTCCTGCGTCGTCGATTAATCCACCATTCCGTTGCGCTGCGATCAATAAGTCGAGCATTGCCAAGCGTTTTTTGGGATCTATGATTAAATATTACTTTTTATTATTCAGTCGACATTGCATTAATATTTTCATTACGTCTTACATCCATGATATACATTATCAGATGGGTTTATACTTGAATCGGTGAATTCGTTTAAAAAATGACCATTTGTTTTTTCATGAAACTCTTTTCTCTCTTGAATAATCTAAAAAAAAAATTTTAAAAAGATTTATTTTCTGTTTGAGCATAATCTAGCCTTAATATCAAATACTTGTCTTGTGAAATTGTGTAGACTTTTCAATGCTTTACTACATTGACGTCCTTTTTTCGATAAATTGTAAAACGTAAAATCTGGTGCAAACCACGGTCTTTGAATTCTAGGAACGTACATAAAATTATCAATTTATTTTTACAACTGAACTAAAATTTATATATTATATAATACTATACCTGTACACTAGACAGTCTCCAATAGTATGAATTCCATCTTTATATTCGTTTCGAGCATTCTCATCAGTGAATTTAACACCCATTGCTGTTTCTAAAAGTTGAAAATAGGATAAGAAAATAATTGATACTATGTTGTGCTAATATTCTATATTTTTACATACCGCAGATAACATTCAAAGTGTATATTGATGCGATATCAACAACATTGTGCACAGCCTCGCCTGCCAATCTTAACTTTTCCATCGTTTTTTCTCCATTTTCAAAAATGCTCTCAAAATATTTCTGCAAAACGTTGAAGTGGAAGGCAGGTGTCAGCATTTTTCGCCTTTTTTGCCATTTTTCGCCTTGAATCAAGAAAAAACATCATTTAGTAATTGTAATGCAGAATGCGCCAGTTGTTACGTATCAAGATTTATACCATCACTAGTTAATAAACCAAAACCTAACCACTTATGAAGGAGAGAGTAAATAATACTTTTTTTTATGTGGCGCATGTTTGAAAATGTTTTCTGAAATAAACAAAATGAAAAGAAATGTAAAATTTTTATTTATTTTGGGTATCTTACTACTTTTTCGTAAAAAATTAGTTCTTTGTACTTGTCGACTATTTCAAATAAAAGAAAAACAATACCTCAATATCATCAGGATGAGTAATAAATACAGCGCCCCAATGAGTGGTCCAGAGTTTGTAAATAGGATAATATTTTACATCCCAATTTCTTACCAGAGTCCATAAATCTACAAAAATATAATAATAATAATAATAATGATGATGATAATTCAATGTTAATTATAAATGAAATGAAATAGTAACAAAGACACTACCTGTCATCTTTGTTGCCGTGAATGCAATATACAGGTTGCCTATTACCGGCAACGGAATTGGCCCTGGAATTTTACTAATATACCTGCCATTTCTACTTAACCGAATGTAAGAAGAGAGCATAAGAGTTACTGTTACTATGAACAACAAAAATTCAATGAACATTTTAAATCAATCACGGTATTATTGGATCAACAACTGGACCTTTTTCTGGAAAAAATTTATTGATCACTTGCTATATTATGTCTTCAGATGATTGAAAACGTTTCGAGTGTTTGGCTTGCAAATGTGTAATATCGAAGAGATACTTGGCTAATAATATCCAGTGCGAGTAATTTCCTCGTTTCGAAATATAGTATATAGTCATAGCGATATTGTATATTCGTATCATGCATAAGTCAACCGCACATAAGTAATCCGAATGATAAAAACGAGATTTTTTCTCGAGACCGTGATTTGTAGTATTACCAACTAGTATTTGTTAATTATATTCCTCAATCCCTTATTTATTAATAACTTGATAATTGTATGTGAGGAAGTATAATTTAATGTATAATTTATCATAAAGAATTTGCGATTATTGTCGACGAAGCATCTTTTATTTGAAAAACAATGAAACCTCACTAATTCGAACCCCCTAATTCAAAAATCTACTTAATTCATATAAAATTCTTAAGCCCTTGCAATATGATTTAGCTAGTGAGGTTTTACTGTACATCCATAATCGTCCTTATTCATTGAACTTGCTGATTTAACGACCGCGAAATCGTTCAAAAAGCGACCATTTCCATTTGCTCATGGAATTCTTTTCGCTCCTGTATAATCTGTGAAAAAATTATCATAAATTTGTCAATATTGTAATTCAAATTGAAATACACACAGAAAAACTTGTTACCTGTTTCGTAAAACCATGTAAAATCTTTAATGCTCGCTTATATTTCCGACCTCTAACCGTTAAATTCTGTGAATTATAAATGTATATTCAATGAATATTTATTACGCCAATAGTAACTTATTTAAGCTTGCCATTCTTTAACGTTAGATTTCTGCTTTACGGTTTAATTCGAACCGTGAGTTGACTTACACCATTCAAGAAATCAACTTAGATTTCAAAGTTATAAAAATTTTTTATTTACATAATGATTTTTTTACAGGTAAAAATATTCAGGAATGTAAATGAAATGATTGAAAAATTATTTTTAATTTATACATCGTTGGCCCTGAAATTAAATACCATCACCTTTTAATTGGCGTTAATTTAATACGGATAGGTTCGGTAGTACGAAGAACCAAATCAGTTTTGAATATAAGTTCTTCAGTTCTGCTAATAGGGTCCAATTCGAAATTGTAGACTAACAAACTGACGAAAGTTTTTAACTCGAGCATTGCAAACTTTTGCCCTGCAATTTAAAAGTATAATGTGATTAGTGATTGTCTTAAAGCAGTTGGCATGTATTTTGCACTTTTATAATTTACCGATGCAATTTCTAGGTCCAGCACTGAATGGAATATACGAGTAGGGATGCCTGGCTTTTGCATTTGCTGGCAAAAATCTGGTAGGATCAAATTTTTCCGGATTCGGCCAGAATTCCGGTAGTCGATGTACTGAATAAGGATGTACTTGTATCATAGTACCTTTAGGTATCAAATAATTTGCTGCAACAATTGAAACAATTCAATTACTCTCGCTATTCCTCTTGACTTAATCTTTACTGTAATTCGAACGACTTACTTAATTGTAAATCTTCTGTGATATTTCGTGAGATATACGGAACAATCGGATAGAGTCTCAGGCTTTCTTTTAAACACATTTCAAGGTAAGTGAAACGTTGAGTGTCTGATATTTCTAATTTTCCTCCAGTGCAATCTAAAAATTCACTTACTTCATTGCGTATGCGTGACTGCAAAATAATCATGTTCAACATACACAGCAAGGATTTCAGTAATTAGTAATCGACATATGTTAAAATTTGCTCACTTGCGCATCTTTGTTTTCGGCAATTAATAGTACTGCATAACTCAACGCCATAGCAGTAGTATCGTGACCCTTAAACACATGATTCATACGAATTGGTCAAATTGCATAATGTGTCTCAAAATAAACAATTAAACAAATTTATTCACTCACTTCGAAAGTAAAAGTATCGACTTCCTCTTGTATACCTTTGTCGTCTATTCGCCCTGCTTTTTGTTCTGATATTAATAGATCAAGCATAGCCAAACGTTTTTTGCGATCTAAAACAGAATAAGTGTTTCAATATTTTTTAAAATATCTTTTAACGTCGGTCTATTTATTTACTCCGTCAGTGCTAATCAGCGACGGAGGCTTGCAATGTGTTTGAGAACAAAGCACATGAAACTTCTTTCAGTGGTGCTTGTATCAATCAGCAGGGACTAGGAATCGAACCCCGGGCCTACCGGGTACGAGTCCGTCGCCCTACCGACCGAATCATTGCAGGCCCCTAAGAGTTTCAATATATTCATTTGAATCGAGAAATAGCATTAAGTTTCTTACATCCACAGTATATATCACCAGTTGATGTACTAGCAGATATGTTTTCCTTGAATTCGTTAAAAAATTGATAATTAGTTTTCTCATGATATTTTTTTCTTTCTGCCATAATCTAAAAAAATAAAAGTATGTTAGGCCTTTTATCTCCTTGAAATTACTATGAAAACAATGGACCTAAGTATTTTATTTAACTTTTTTTGTAAAGTCATGTAGAGCTGTCAAAGACTTTTTATACTTTTGACCTCGGTGCGTCAAACGAAACACTGACTCTAAGGCGAACCAGGGATTTATGATTCTGTAAAAACGTATTGTGCTCAAATATTCGATTTCACAATAGTATGTATACATTTTGTGCTTAGATACATTACCGAAAAATTGTGCAATCTCCTACGTGATGCACTCCTTCTCGATACTTTTCTGAAAATTCTCTATCGGTGAACTTTACACCCATGGCAGTTTCTAAAAATATTGAATTATTTTTTTATTGATTCTAGTGGTTGTAATTTTCAAAGAATATAATTACAATGTTTAAGTACCTAAAATAACGTCCAAAGTAAAATTAGCGATGCATTTCGTCATATTTATTACAACTTCGCCATTAGTTTTAAGGGATTTCATTGTTTCTTTTGCATGTTCAGACATACTCTCGAAGTATTGCTTCAAAATGTTGAAGTGAAAAGCTGGTGTCAACATTTTTCGTCGCTGCTGCCACTTAGCTCCTTTTTATACCATAGCTTGCTCATGATTACTTTCAACATTAACATTGGTTACGAAATAAAAGAAATAATACATGCTCACCATGACTAGTCAGTAAACCAGTACCCAACCACGCAAGTAGCGGATAATAGAAATAGCTCTTTTCCGTATGCTTGACACTTGTAAAAAGTTTCTTTAATCAAGGTAAGTATTAGTAAATACATCGTAGTTATAAAAAAATTGTCTAATTAATTTAATTCTTACTTCAATATCATCCGGATGCAATATAACTATAACAGCTTTATGCGCAATCCGAACTTTGTACATTGGGTAATACATTATATCCCATTGTCTCAGAAGTGCCGACAGTTTTACTAATGACAATAAAAGTTTTATGATGAGCGAATCTTTTATTAAAAAAGCCAAACGGTCTATTACAATGCTTATTTTTAGGGAAAACGATAATTGAATTGTATGAAAAAGAGCTGTTTTCCTATACATATTCGTTACCTGATTCAGATTATTTGATGGGTCATACTAATCTAAAAGGCGTAAGCGAAAGTTATATACGTCGTATTCGTCAATATTACATATTATTTTAAACTTTTTATAATATGCGATTTAACTGATGAGAAACGACGATTTTATGGTTACCAATACTGAAGCAACTATTGTTTGAGACTATGGAATTTTATTGGCATTTTTGCACGAAAATTTTTTGGTATAAACAATTCGACTTTAGTATCTTATTTTCCGCATGCCTACGTGTATATGATAATTTCAAATCCGCGGCATCAAATCAAAATTACCATAAATTTACCAATCTATATATAACATTCTAAATATGATACTGCATATATTTTAATAGTTAAGATGGAGATATTATATATGTAGGTAAAAGTTACAAAAATAACTATATGTATCATATTTTGTACTTGGAATCTTGAATTTCTAGATACAGAGAATTTGAAGAATTGAGTAACTTTATTCTCAATTACGGAATTGCTTTTTTCACAAAGAAAGAAATCTCTTTATCTAAAAATTGCCATAAATTTATCATTCTATAATTAATTAAATATCTTTTATTTCATATTAAATGTTTATTTCAAATCAATCAATAATACTTGTTAATATAATACTTGGATGTTTAATTATAGATACTACGAATGAATACAACAGGTAGATAAGTAACGTTCTAATGAATGTACGTATTAATAATAAGTGTATCAAAACTCAAATATCAATATCAATGTAATAATTCTTTTGTATATACCTGTCGTCGTAAATAATTCTGGAAGATTGCCTAATATTGGATATGTTGGTGCACCGTGAATTTTGTTCACGAGTTTAAAGGTTCTATCGTACTTTCTAAAGTACTCGAAAGCACAGAGAAGAACAATGAACAACGAAATTTCAATGAACATCGTGAATGAAAAAATGTACAATGATTCAACACCACGCGAGCAAAGCAAACTTTTGCGAAACGTGCAGTTTGAGTGTTATCGAGTCACTACTGAAAAATCAATATATTCACGTCAGCTCATGCAATAAGAAAATACGGATCTCTGTGAAAGTGAATTTTGAATACCAAGGTTACAATCAAACTAGAACGACCTCCTCTGTAAATTAATCTCTCTTAGCCTAATAGCAACGTTACCACATGTTTTTTGTAATGAGATAATTAGTTGAAATGAAATATATTATAATTTGTACTTGTTAATGAATTACTCAGTTGTGGATCTGCAATTACGCGATAAGCGTCGAACATTTTGTTAAAGACGGTAATTTTGAAATGATCTTGCATTAGTTAGCAGGTTGCTCAAAGAACTCAAAAATTTTTAACAAAACAGACATATCTAAAATACTATATCTAAGCAATGAAAAATTCAATAAACCTAACGACATTTCTTGATATTCTTGTTAACTTAATAAATGTACACAATAAGGTAAATCTTATTGCCATCGCATAAATCTTCCGAATTTCTTTTGGTATGAAACACCATTATTACAGAATTTAAAACTATCAAATTGAAATCAAACACTCTATATAAAATAAACTTTATTTTTTAATAGGTATAAGTTTGACGCGAATCGGTTTAGAAGTGCGAAGAATCATATCCGATATAAAAGATAATTCACTGGTTGTTGTGATAGGCTCCAGATAAAAATTATGAACTAAGAGACTAATAAAAGTTTTCAATTCCATCATTGCGAATCTTTGACCTGTAATTAAAGTATGATTAATCATTGATGTTATTTGCAATCGTTTTACAATAAGTTGTACCCACCAATGCAATTTCGAGGTCCGGCACTGAATGGTATATATGAAAATGGATGTCGCCTACTTGTGTTTTCTGGTAAAAATCGATCAGGATCGAATTTTTCAGGATTCGGCCAGAATTCCGGTACTCGATGTACACTAAACGAGTTAACTTGAATAGCTGCGCCCTTAGGAACTAGATAGTTTGCTGTAAAATAGCAACGAAAATTATTGCTATAATTGAAGTTGATATACACTATCGAAAATATTTTTAAAAATTATCTACAAGCATAATACCGTAATTATGTTTTTTTTTTACTTACTCAATTGAATATCCTCTGTAATATTACGTGACATGTATGGAACAATCGGATACAATCGAAGGCTTTCCTTTAGACACATTTCAAGATAAGTTAAACTTTGTATTTCTGACATTCCTAATTTTCCAGCTTTACTTATTACTTCATTAACTTCATTACGTATGCGCGTCTGAAAAGAAACTTAATAAACCAAGATACTTTTTGAGATTGACCAAATTAAAGACATAATTTGTACTTGCGCATCTTTGTGTTCGGCAATTAACAGTATTGCATAAGTCAGTGACATTGCAGTTGTATCGTGACCCTAAAATTTTACATAATTTAAGCGAAAATTATAAGGGTTTTTAATGTTTCAATTAAATTACTTCAAAGGTAAAAGTGTCAACTTCTTCTTGTATCCCTTGATCGTCTATAGATCCATCGTTTTTTTGCGCCATTATCAACAGATCAAGCATTGCCAGCTGCTTTTTACGATCTATAATGAATATGTCTTTCTAGAATCATAGTTCGACAAAAATCTGTAAATACTTATAGAAATCATGTTATTACATCCGCTGCAATATACATCATTGCTTGGTTGATTTACAGATTCATTTTCAGTTAAGTCGTGCAAAAATTGTCCGTTCGATTGTTCATGATATTCTTTTCTTTCCTTCAGAATCTAAAACCAAAAATGGTTCATTACTATTATATAAGTGGTTGTGAATTAAAAATATACATTGCTTACTTTTCTTGTGAAACCATGTAAAATATTTAAGTATTCCTTGTATTTCTGACCCTGCGGTAATAACCGAAACACTGGCTCTGATGCGAACCATGGTTTGGTTATTCTAAAAATATTTCGTGGTCAGAAATTTAATTTACATTTATTATACTTTTAATATATCACTATCTCATTACCGATAAATAATGCAGTCTCCCATGTAGTGTATTCCATCCCGATATTTTTGCATTATTTCTTCATCCTCAAACTTAACACCCATGGCCGTTTCTGTGAAACATCGATAATACAATTTTTTCATGCAATATCCAAAAAGTCTACAAATTATGTTGGTTACATTTACCACAAATAACGTGCAAAGTAAAGTCCGCTACTAATTTGTTTATATTGTATACGCTTTCATCCTGTGATTTGAGATTGTTCATAGTTTTTTCTCCGTGTTCAGCCATACCCTCGAAATACTGTTTTAAAATATTGAAATGAAAAGCCGGTGTTAACATTTTACGTCGTTTTTGCCATTTTTCACCTATAAACAAATAACTTCTTAATTATTTCCTGCGCGTATTCATCATTTTGAAAATGTATCATTGAAACAGGCTTACCATGACTAGTTAACAGACCAGTACGTAGCCAAGCAAAAAGTGGATAGTAAAAAAAACTTTTTTGTGAATATTTTGGACTTGTAAACACTTTCTATAAGAAAAATAAAGATGCTTAATATATATTTTTGCCATAAAGTTTATCATTATTTACTTCGATATCATCCGGATGGAGAATAATCATGATAGGTTTATGCAATGCCCAGACTCTGTAAATAGGATAGTACTTCAGATCCCAGTTCCTTAAAGCGTTCCATACTTGTTCTGGTAAAAAAAATGAAAGACATTTATATTGGAAAACAAATGTTAGTTTGGAAGATTATCTGAATTTGATAAAGAAAAACACTAGATTTCTTTAGGAATCGAAAATAAACCTATTACTTAAACTCAGTTCAGTGTTATAAAAAATTTGTTTACTTATTTGTTTACTCGATAAATAGCAGACAATGAAAAATCGTTTTTTATTTATTATTCGAGAGATTTTGTTGCACAGAAAACATATTAATGAATACATTTTCTAAATATTTATAGTCCTAACATTTTGAAGCCGAAACAATGAATAACATGCTAATTATACGGTATTAATTTAGAATCCCGTTTAATATCTTCCGAGGAATTCAAAACTTTGTTAGAGATAATTTTCTGAAAGATAAGTGAAGAATAATTTTTTTTTTATAGTGTATCTTAGTTAACTGATCCCATCATACCTTTGAATATAAAACTAGAGTAAATAATGTATGTAAATCGGACTTTCGGAGATCAGCAACGTAATTCATCATCTAATTTCATGTAAATGCATCTAAATGGATAATATTTACCCAGAATTTTATTACTTTTATATAGTCAAATTTTTTATGCGCCTGTATTTAGGCTATCTTCCATTAAGTCTGAGTATCCATCGTAAACATTAAATCACTTTGATTTTGAAACATCATATACAAGGCCGTCAACGCATGCATATTAATGAATTTATGATTCACATAGAATACATAAATTAAATAGTTCTTTAGCTACCATTCTGAATTATTCATTCATATATTTACGATTTTCATATAAATCGTACTTCCGTTGACGTGATTGAGTCTTAACGATGATAGAACTGATACATTTTAATGTATACATTCGCCTTTATTGGTTTTACATATACAAATATAATCGTAGTATCATAAATTAACAATAATGAATAAAATTAATAATACGTATTGATACTTGGTATGCATGTAAATTTGCATAAATACTAATTTATAGAGCGTTATTCACTAATGTTAATCTTGGTTTATTCATGCAGTATAAAAACACTACCCTCGAAGAGCTATATTCGAACACTCAAATTTGGTTGAATACCTGTCGATCCAAAGAGACTTGGAAGATTGCCTAATATCGGCCATACTGTATCTCCTGGAATTTTATTCACTAACTTTCCAATTCTACCATGTCTAACAAAATATTCAAATGCACCAATTAATATAAAAACTAGTAAAACAATTTCAAAAAGCATAGCGCGATTCCAATGAAAGCATCCAAAATGCTCTAACGCACGAGACTTGTCGACCGCAACAACTACTACTTACTGAACATAAGCGAGATAACTCGCTACTAGAGATCTACGTTATTACGTAACTGATGAGTGATGATTTGTTTTTTTTTCTCAGAAACTTTTTGTTCACATGAATACTTATACTCGGACGAGGAAAAGTTTTGATCGACATTCATATGTGTGCGACAACGAATAAGAATGAATTCTATTTTTACATTGTGATAGAAATATCGTGGATAGTAAATAATCGCTGACAATGATTGGTAAGAGAAAATTACATATGTACTTGGAATGTTTTTAAGTTTAAGTCAATTAATTACAATTTTAATAATTTTTATGTATATAAGAACCTTTGTTATATTAATGTTATGTGATCTCAGATATTAAGTACTACGTTCATGAAAATCGCACGTTAGATTTGTTATTTACTAGGTACACTGTCAAGGGAATCAATAAAATTATTCTAAATATGGTACTACGTGTATTTTAACAGTTAAGATGGAAATATTATATAAGTAGATAAAAGTTACAAAAATAACTATTTGTATCATAATTTGTAATTGAATCTTGAACTTCTAGATACAGAGAATTTGAAAAATTGAGTAACTTTATTCTTAATTACAGAATTGTTTTTTTGACAAAGAAGGAAATCTCTTTATCTGCAATGCATAAGTGTACAAAGTTATGAGGTTAGTGTAGAGGTATCACTCTTGAATTTTTATCGAATTTCATAATGATAATAACCATTGACTGGTAAATGTCTAGTCGACTCTCTTATAGATAAGAGAGCAATCAATATAATAAAGCATGATAAAGAAAATAAAAGTAAGGAACAATTTTTTTAAGCTAACAGAATATAATGAATTGTTGATTTTATTTACATTTTCTGTGAATTCAAATCAATATGTTTTAGTTATAAAGACGTACAAACTGACTCTTTTATTAATGTCAATCAGATATGTTCGTATCTAACTGCATGATTCAAAACAATACTTAAAATTAAATTATGAAGTAAAATTATTATATTTTTATTGATATATTCTATACTGATTATATTCTGGATAATCAAATAAGCAATTTCATTCAAACTTTATATAATGTTTACAATGATCAATATTAGTCAACAGTTATTGACTATCACTATTGAGAAAATCTTTTTCCATGCTGTTACATACTGTTCTATTCATTCTGTCTTGAAAATGTTTATAATCTGTTTAAATAAAATGCAGTTCACACTAAAGACAAACATTTAGCTTTACCGTTTTCCTCTGTAAAAATACATGAATATGATAAAGCGAAAAAATCGATTGATTCTCCGCGTTGCCAGACGAAATAAACTAATTAATGTGATAAAAAACGAAAAAAAGTTGCTGTAACTTAAAAAAAAAATAAATTGTCAAAAAAATTGTGCAAAATATTTAAACACCCGACATTAAACAATTTATTTACAGCATTAATCAAAGTGATTGTGTAATTAAATATGCTATTGTTCACGAAGGATTTATCAACTTGTTACAGTTCATTTACGTCAAAAGTTTCAATTCAATGAACTTCTGTATTGACATATTATAATCAGCTCATCAATTTTGCCAACTGCAGCTTTTACCACGTGTATTAAGTTAGCAACTGTTGAGTGTTAAATATTTGCATAATTTCATCGATTAAAAAAGTCTCGCGACCTTGTCAGAAGTTGTATTTATTTTTGGGAAAAAGCTAAGTTCTGTTTGGTATTTAAGGAACACTTTAATTATCTTACAAGCACATTTTCGCGGATTACAAATTGCACTCGATCGTATATCTGTCTTTCTGATAATCCGGGAAATAATGTTTAACACAAATTTATTACTATTTGTTTTAAAGCTAGCAACTTGTCTTACACTGATTGCCAGCAAAGCTGTTGCATGTAAATTTTCACATCTCAAATTAATCTTTTTGTCGCATAAAATTAATGTATTTATATATATATATATAATACTTTTTCAGCTGGAGAAAATGACTTTATAGATAGAATTTTCCAAGGTGAATATGACACGCACAACGAGCACAGGTATCATGTAGCTATTCTTCAGATAAATCCCAATGATACCACAGAACTCATCTGTGGTGGTGCTATCGTCGACAGTCATTACGTTTTGACTGCCGCCCATTGCGTCTATGGCCAAGAGAAGAACAACTTGTTGATCAGAAGTGGCTGGAATAAGAATCCGGAAAAGCCTGAACTTGAAAAGAGGATTTATCATAAAGTTGCCAGAATCATGTATCCTAAAGATTACTTCCACTCGGAGTGCCGTAGTCACGAACATGATATTGCGATTATTAAGGTACCGACTTTCTTTTCAATCAAAAAACAATACTGAGAAACTACAAGTTTTCATATATTTCCGGCTATTTCAACAATAGGTGCAACGAGCTTTCGACTTGGTGGACGACAAGAACTTCTATAAAGTCAACCTACCGGAATACGACAACGACTACGAGAATTATGAAGCAACTCTGACTGGTTTCGGTGTTGAAAAAATTAGTATTTACGTCAACAAGACTAGCGATACCGCAAGTAAAGAGCTCAAGTATTCCCAAGAATTGAAGTACCTCGACACAAAAGTCATTCCAATCGAAGAATGCAAGTTGGTTTCGCCTGTCATCGTAACTAATGGCAATATTTGCACTCAGTCGCAGAATATCAATGGATTCTCTTGCATTGTAACATACTGGATTTTATATTATTTAAAAATTATATACACAAACTGACAAATGTTTTTTCTTACGTTAACAGGGTGACAGTGGTGGTCCTCTTGTGCACGAAGGTGTTATCATTGGTATCCGAAACTCCCACAATAATCAATGCAATCATAATCAACCTGAAATGTTTACTCGTGTATCGGCTTACCTGAATTTCATCAACAACGTTCTCAATCAACAGCCTTCTGCTGGTATAAGTTACAATTAATAATCTACACGTAGATTTGTTGTTCGTGCATTATTTATGCATCAAGAATATGAATAAATTTATATTGAATGTGATACTTAAACGTCCATATCATTACTGTTGATGATGTATATAATATTATTTTCATACAAATAAAGATAGAACAGAACGTTCAAAATTAAGTCATATATTTTTTTGCGTGTAAACCTATTTATAACGGTTAAATATGAGTGTTAGGAAGGTTTGTAGTTGATAAATAATATTGTCTTGTTCGGTAAAATGCAAACTGAAATCGTGCATTACTTTGTGTATGTTATGTTAGAAATTAACATAATTATCAGATTTGTATCTGTATTGAAAAATCTTAGTGTTAAATTTTAATAATCAGTTAAAGAATAAATTTTATACTTGGAAAGTCTAAATAATTAAACAAACTGTTTTAGAATTAGACGTCAAAATTTTCCACACAACCATTCATTTATAGTAACTACAAAACAAGGATATCATATAATACTTTATGATTAAGTAAAATAATAATGAAATGTAAATAAGTACAAACTCTCGTAAGTTTAGGTTTTTGGAAAATACATTGTCTATCATTCATCACTACAATGGTATTCCCATCGTGCATTAATGGATCAGTATCATCCTGCTAAATATAAGACAACAAGAAACCATCGTAATTTTGGAGTCATACAGTTTGTTTGCAACGCATATACAAGACATTTGCAACGCTGAGTCAGGGCTTGCATAGATAATTATAATAAGCTTAAGCTACCCTTTGTCAATACGATGCCTGACAAGTACTGGCATTCTGCGTAGATCTTAAATGACAGTCATACTGTGGGTAACTCGTTAACGTTTCTTTCTTCTTTTGGTAGATTGTAGTGTGGCCTATAACCTATTATCGTTACTATATAAAACCTTCATAATCAGCATCGGATTCCGAAAGATTTATTTTCACACAGCAAATAAAATCAGTTAAATCTGTACGCAAAAATTTTATAAAATAGGTTACTCTCGTGATTTTAGTACAGAGTAGGTCAGCCTATAAATATTTTAGTAACGCTACGGAAAGTTCTCACTTCATTTTGTGAGCTTAAACCCACAAATGCTACCGTGCCTCACGACTAGCCGGTTACTTTTATAATGTATGGCACAATTGATAGCGTTTAATACATATCTTTGATGAATTATTGCACCGCCGCACATTAGATGAAGTGAACCGTCTTGAAATCAGATCATTTCTACTTGGTAACGATAATCGATTTTCCGACTCACGATTCCTTTAATTATAAAAAAGTGAACGTTATCGGTTAAAATTTCATTACTCGTTTCGTCACTAAATTTCTTTTCCGCCATTTAAACATATTAATATCATTTATTTCTGTTTAATTTTTATATAATTTTATTTTATAATATAGGAAATTTTTTTTGTAATTCAATTAACCAAACTAGAGCGGTAAAAGCTTATCATAGATTTTGGGATCGATTGTCAAGTACACAATAAACAAAACTGACAAGGATGTAAGGCTGAGCATTGTGAATAAAATTAAAATGACATGATAGGCAGGTATTAGCGATTAATCTAAATATTGCGTAAACGTAGTTGCGAATGTTCTAATGTAACTATACTTTATAGTCATCTTTTCTTTTTAGATAAAATACATCGTTTTTGAGCAGTTTTTGTTATAAATCTAAAAGAAAATAATTATTTTTCAATAACAAATAAAATTTTTTACTAATTTTAATACCATTTGAAAATCTGTACGAACGTTAATTAAACAAAGATTACAAAAAATTGAACAAAAGTGAAATGATCTGCAAGATAAGCAGCGGTTTACAAAAATTATATTGAGGATATATTGATACTGTCATAAATAACGCGAATTTGAGCAATTCAAAGGAATAAAGAATCTTATGATTTTATCAATTACTTTCTTATTCCACCTTATCGAACCGCAGTGTAGTCACCATCAAGTCAAATACTAATCGGAACTTTGATATGCGTCAAAAAATAATTTACACTCGATTAAATCTGTGATGACAAATCAAACGCATTTGGCAATTAAATAACTTTGTGTGAGTGTCATTTTTCTTATAAATCAATGTGTGCTAACATCACGATGTATAATTTAAAATCTGAGATTCACACAATAACATACGACGTAAACGTTTTTGAATTGTGATAGAAACTCACGTAAAAAGAAAAATGTTCAAATTAATATAAGTTGAGAGCTGCGAGAATATTTAAAAGACCATATTATTTAAAGCAATCCACACTTGAGCTTAGCGATTCGGCAGAGATAAGTGCATCGCGATGTTCAGCCACAAATTCTTTTTCTTGTTTATCGGCTTATCCGTCAACTGGACCGTTAATGCTTACGGTAAGCGAATGTGATGATTTCAATGAACTATTGATTATTTTCATGTATTTTTACTATATTTTTATTTTATTACTGAATTTCTTTTTAATTTTTAAAATCAAAATTGAAATTAGAAAAATTAAAGATACAAATTTTTTTTATCGTTAAAACTTTGATTTTATCAGGAACCTTGAATAAAAAAATCTCAAAATTTACAGGTGGTCAAAACGTGGATGAACGTCCTCGTTATCACGTGGACATTTTGAAATTGACAGACGATGGCTACTTGGAACATCTATGCAACGGTGCAATTTTAGACAGGAATCACATTATCACCGTCGCTCATTGCGTTCACGAACTTGAATTTGATCAAGTACGTATCAGAAGTGGTTCGGATATTGCACCACCAGTTAACATGCCACATCATGAGAAACGACTATTTCATCGTGTACAGAAAGTCATGTACCCAGTTAATTACGTGCCTTTACCATGCCGTGATCATGAACATGACATCGCCATCTTAAAGGTTTGTTTGGCTAGTGAAACATTTAGACATGATGTGACGAGAGCAGGCCGTGTGCCGGTCTCTCGTCTGCGTTCTCCCTCCTCCACTCGGCAAGGCGTGTTGGCCAACGTTAGGCGCATTAAAGTAACTACTTAATAGTATCGGTACTTTCTGCGGCAGCACATCGCCCGGGATCCACGACGTTGCTAGGAGCGGTGAACAAAGGTCAAGCCTTCTTTTCTTCTTTCTCTCTACACTCTCTCTCTCTCTCTCTCTCTGGTGATGCGACGGCCGGTGCGTGTTGAATAGGATAGCCAGGCATCCACGTGCCGGCTATCTAAAGGTTCGCGCTTAAGCTTAATTTGTAGTAACGTAAGTTGCAACCAGCGAATTGTCCAGGCGCCCACGTGCCGGGCAGTTCATCCGGTATAGGTTCGCGTAATTTAAGTAAGTTTGTAATAGGTTAAGTGCGCGATTGGAGATTAAGACGAGATGCGAAATATTCATTTGTGAATACTATGAGTAGTTTATTATTCTATTATGTAGTTGGTTAGTTAGTAATTAGACTGTGTTATGCGCGCGTATGTTTGGTTTGAACAATTATTAATAATAATAGGTTGTAAGTGAGATTTGATTTCTGTCTTTCTATAATTCATTTATCAACCTCTCCTCGTTCTTCTCCCTTAATTGCCTTGAGCGAAAGTGCCTCACTTACCCCGCAAAGAATTGGTAACAAAGGAACGAGTTTTGTTACAATGAAAACAGATTTTCATTCTAATAAGTCGTCATAATTATACTCGCAGGTAGACCGTGCTTTTGATTTAGCTTTTGATGAGCTTTACAAGCAGGTCAACCTTCCTGAACTAAGCAACGATTACGAAGGTTACAATGCCCTTATCTCCGTACACGTCAACGGTGAGCTTAGTACTTTCGACGCTGATGTCATCTCTAACGAGGAATGTACCAAGAATGCCACTTCTATGGTCACCAGAGGAAATCTCTGTGCCGTCGTTCCAGAATCTTTTAATGTAAGTTAATACCATCCGTTTTTTACTATCCGAAATTTGACTAAGTAATTTAATAATTCGATAATTTGTTCTACAGGCTACCAGTGGTGCGCCATTGGTATACGATGACACGCTCATTGGATTCATGAACGCCCCCAGTAAATGTGACACCCATCCATTGATAAAACGTCAATTCCCATGCATTAAACAATCTGCTACTTTGAAGATGTTCACCAGAATAACCAGTTACCTTGAATTTATTTGGAAGGTCATCAATGGCGAAGCATCAGCTGAGATCACCACCCGCTCGCTATTTCATTAAGAACTTCAAACACTTGAAAATCAAGATTGTACTTGTAAGATAATAAATATATGTATATACACTATTTTCACTATTTATGAGATGTATATATCTTTTACATTTCATTTTTAGCTTTTTATTTTGGCATTCCGAATTTGTTGTGTATATTTTTGTACATAATAACTTTAATAGTGCTCAATAAAATTGTTTAATGTATCAATACCGCAATGCCTGAAAAAGGAAAAGAAAGGCAATTTTTCAAATTTATTCAAAATTGTAAGTTTTTTTGGCTATCGATTATGAGATTCGAAAAAAATGGAATTTTGATAGCAAAGTAAAAAAGGTTATCGATCGAAGTTCAATTTTGTATCATTTGAAACCGCAAAGTGCCCTTCCGAACCTCGACGTAACGATTTTGCAATATATCCAGTTTAGTTGGGAGAGCTAGCTGAGTCAAGAAAATTAAAGGTTTCATTGCCAAGACGTGGTAAAGTAAGCCAAAAAAGATAAAATTGGATTCAAATAAAATAATGTTTTGCTGTAAATTTCATATCAACTTTTGATCAATCTGCAGTGCGTCGGATCAAACTGTACTGTACTGTACAAATCGTATTAGTACATTACCTAATTAGTGTGGGAAATTAAAGTAAATTCAACCCTCGGTCGGAGAAACTCTTTTCCAAATATATTGGATGCGGTATTATTCAAAACAACGTGTGGAAAGCACAAATTCGAGCGAACCTTTTTCGCCAAGCGTATGGCAAAGTCGCACTTTCAGCACAGCGCTTTGAAAAATAATTACGAAACGTGTTATCGAAAAATAATGACTCCTCAAATAATGTGCATCCGCACTCTGACAAAGCTGTTCTCATTTTCTTTCGTGGCAGGTCATTAGCATTTCGAAGGTCTCGAAATAAAAAAAGCAAGTCACTATAACGAAGGTGTGCACTTTTTTAACGGATCTTTAATCGGGCGAAACGGCAACGAAAATGTTTGTACAGAACCTTCTCACGCATATAGCGCGTGTAAAAGTTCGATTCACCCTGTTGACTTACGTAACAATCGATTTTTTAATGAACTTTCGCTGTTAATTAACGGATCTTCACGCAAGGCACGGTGAAAGTTACGATTGCAAGGCAACGGTGAAATTCGTCTTTAACGAGATCAAAACTGTTTTGAAAACATGTGGCGATCGACTTTCCTAGGTCTTCTTCTGCGCAAGATAAATATTTATACTATGAAAGTTGCTCTTATTTTTTCTTACTAGATTAATAAGGAAAGCCAGGCGAAAATCCAACTTAAAGCTGGAATTGTATATCTACAGTAAATAAATTCTGGATATCGATCAAATGTGAACTGTTACTTCAAGATAGTTAAATATAATCCTATTCGCAGGTGGTATCGTAATTTTTCATCTAATCATTTCACGCCTCATTTAATCCAAATTTTTTTTAACATGATACCCTTTCTCAGTTATAAACAGCCATGATCGAAATACAGTTTGTCTTCTCTAAGATAAAAGTTACAATTATCATACCCATAACTCACTTAACTCAAGGCAGCGTCTAATTAGATGTAGTCGATTAAATAGCACTTGCGCATGTGTTGACACTTATTATTATTATTTTTTCTACTATATTTTTCCCTATTAAATTTTTATCATCTTCTCTTTAGAATATAAATAATAGATAACAAAAGTAGATTGTACAATAAATAAGCGAATTCAATTTATTATTTTACACGATTAATTTAGACAATCATTTCCTATAAAACTATTTGTACAAGATATCAGATGAGTATTTTCCACTGAACACCTTCTTGATGAAACTGAGATATTCGGAAACTTTGGTGTAAAGTTCCGGACGAGTGTCATCGCAGGTACTGGGATTATTTAAAATACCGATGATTTGGTTGTCGTACACTAGTGGATTACCACCGTCACCCTTCAACACGACAATTCGATTAATAAAATTTCGACGTACATGTAATTTGTTGCTATATTGCGGGAAACTTACGTAGCAAGTATGGCCTTTCATTTGTATGGACAGTGTACACAAACTACCCGCGGTGAGGATGTAGGTTCTAGTAGTCTGACATTCGTCAATTGAGATGACCTTCGTTTTTAGAGACTTGAAACCATTGCCTTCGGCTTTGAGTGTACCTTGATCGGGTTCATGTACACCGTAACCAGACACGGTAGCCCATTTCTCTTCGTAATCGTTGTCCTCGTTCGGCAATTGAAGTTTCCGGAAGTGCTCTCTATCACCGAGATCGAAAGTTCCTTCGATCTGCAATTGAAAATCGTGACAAATTATTAATTCTACGAAACGGACAATTGATGAATGATCATGTACCTTCAGCAAAGCAATGTCGTACTCGTGATAACGAGGGTCCTTGACGTAATCCTTAGGATACATAATCTTAGTAACACGTTTGAAATATCGTTTCTCGAGATGTGGTTTGTCTGCTGGCGGAGCTTGATTACCACCAGCCCTAATTATCACGTCTTCTCTCTCGATGTCATAGACGCAGTGAGCTGCCGTGAGAACGAAGCGACGATCGATTATTGCACCACCGCATATATGCTGAATTTCGCCATTTGTGCCATTGACCTTCAGAATTGCCACGTGATATGTGTAACTGCTAGGGTCGCTGTTCTGACCGTCGATGATTCTTTCCTTGTGATGAGCTGCGATATTTAGGAGGAAAAGGAAAATTGACTATTAATTATTATCTGAATTCTTGTTGAGATTTCTTCAACTTACCACTGATTAATGGGACAATTACTAATAGTAGAACTAATTTGAAAGTAAACATTTTTTTTTCGATAAAAAAGTGTTCGGTGCGATGTTTCGGAGTACGAATTAATCAATAATCATGTGCTACTTAAATACTAAAACTCCCACCCTCCTCGTACTACCGAAAGTCGCGCGATATTAAAATCGTTAATTGAAAGAAATTGGAAAAGCCTAATCCGAAATTCACTTTGCCCGTCATTTGGGGAAAGGTCATCGTTGATAACGTATGTCAAACGACATGTGGCAGTGCGGCATTGTTTGGCGAAGCTGCAACTGTTGCGTCATATTTGAACTATATATAGCGTAATAACTAATGCGCCACAACGTGTTGTAAAAATTAGATGCTTACGTAATTTTATCAGTCAGTGCAAACATTACTTTTTTCATAATGGTTTTGAAAATAATAAAGCGTAATATTTTAGAAGAATCAAGTTAACGTGCGAATAAGTTGCTTGTTAAATATTTGAGTATAGGTGTCTTTCAACAACACACGAGATCTTTGTGCACGACTGTGTCAATATGATTTACAAAGACAGTTCAACGGACCATGATTGATTTATCTGTTACAAAATGAAATTTATTCGCTTAAATTATCAGTTTTCATAATGTACGATTGCTTCTTTTCAAGCTGCAAAATCAGATATACACACACGCCATGTAACATCTTAAAGAAGGAAAATTGAAAAAACTTTTCTTTAATCAATGTTATGGATAAACTCATGAAATCATTTTTGTGCCAATATTTTTCGGTTTGCAGTAATCTCAGCGTAGTTAAACAAAATGCACTTTATCGGTGATAAAATCTCGAACGATCGCGGAAAAATCTATCCTGTTTAAAAAAAAATATACTTGCAAATTGAATATCCATTGCTGATTCCCTATCATTTCTATAGTGTGAAATATATTAAAAGTTTTTCAAGGAGTCAAAGCTGTTCACTTAATTTCAGTCTTCATATTTTAATATGCATATTAAATACAAAAAATTAAGCGAGTCAATGGAATTTTTTTTCTGTTGCCATTATTAACATCCAAGAAAGAAAGAATTGCTAATGAAAAGAATAATATGAAAAGTTTCATGGCTAAACACATATCTGTGTAACTAATCTCATGTCATTTAAATATGTTATTTATATGACTAGATTGACTTTCATATATTTTTAATTTGTAACAAAATTATTATTCCTGGTTAATAAGTTTACAATGCTACTGCAATAATTGCGTATCAATTGTTAACTATGATTTATATTGCATAACTTGGTTTCACTTTAAAATCATTCACCAAAAATAAAAAATTGATACAGTCATTTCAACATAAACTGAAATTTTATTGAACTACGAAAGAGAGAAAAAAAAATCCAAGTATCGTCGGTCGAAAAATAAAATCGTAAGACCTCACGCCCTCTAGCGACACGCCGCAAATAAGATAAACTAAAAAAAAGCTCAAGCGCAAGAAAATCTGGAAAAAGAAAAGATCAGCAGCAGGTGAAAAAGAGTCGCGAGTCGATCGGCGCCAGATAGTATAATTCCCCTCTCGGCGCCTCTTTCTCGTGCTCGCGCGCGAGGTTTGTTGAACTGCGTCGATACACACGATTTTTCTTTTCTTTTTGAAGATCTTTATCGCTGAAAGCGCGTACGACGCCTCTCTTTCTCTCTCGCATGTGTAATGTCATGCAAATTGCCGAAGCTTCATTACCGGACATTAAAGCTAACATAACGTGGAAAAGCATAATCTATCATCAAAAATCTCTGCATCACTTCGTCGATGCGGTAGATTCATTTGTTATGGTGTGAATTTTACTTTTATCAGAAACATTTTTTTTTTATTCTTAAAAAACTATTTTTCAAATTAAGAATATTTTCTTACTTTAAATACTCTTATTGAGGAGAATATTTCTTTATTTGAAGAAAGCATACAAACTTGTTAATTTCAGCAATGCAGAGTCCTTATCTGTTACATTTCATTTGAAGAAAACATTCTTTCTGGTTCTGTGAACTATTTTCTGTGTGATATTTATTATAGACAGATCTGAAAGTTTTAAAAGTATCTCGTTGACAGAATAGACAGTATGTATCATTTGAAGTAACAATCGCAAGCAAATTCCCTGTGAACTTTATTGCATCTCTCTAGCCGTTATCCAACAATTCGCCATATAACATGCTGCGTATAACGGCGAATATTAAAGCTTTACAAGACACAAGACACACAATGTTCCTTATAATTCATAAAAGGAAGGAGCCCAAAGTATAAAGTCTTGTATTACTCGGTGGAACAAATTGCAACTTTACTCTTTCTCTCTCTCTGCCTCTACCTCGCATTACACATCGCATGGCCAAATGAAAAATTCAGCTAACGAAATATGACTGATGGAGTGACATTTGTATGCGAGCCTCGTACATTTCACGATTCCCTTTTCTCTTTCTTTCTTACGTAAGGATTTCATGTTTATTGTCGCTGTCGTGAAAAACATAGAGGTAATTTTGATGAATTATTGATGAGTACGAAAAATAACAATCAGTCGTCGAGTTATTCTTTTCCGAAATCCATAAGGGAAAGGCATTCCTTTCAACTAACTTTTACGTAAATATCGTGGGCACGTGTAAACGATCTGCCGGTTCATCTTCGATTATACACCGCACGTATACTAATAGAAACGACTATCGCGGAAGCTGCGTTTTAACGACAACGTACCTCGTTATATCCGATTTTCGCTTTTATTAGAAAACAAACGGGTCTTTCGGAAAAATTGTTAAAAAATCGGGGCCGCGCGGCGAAAATAACAGACTTGAGAGATGTATTTTCAAGAGTTTCTCTCCGCGTGAGTCGTTTCAATACCTATATAGGCAGGAAAGAGGGCCGAAGGGAACAGATGCATGGAATAACGGAGGTGAAGTTAATTGGATATCGGGGACGAGAAGAGGTTGTTATTCGTCTGGCGTTTGCCGCTTTGTTTTGTGAGTTGTTAGAGATTTTTGTTTCCTTTAGCTGCACTTATTTTAAATATTGTTTATGAGTTCAACTCTTCAGCGCCAATTCATAAATGACTATCCATTTTTATTTTAAAAATTAACGTGTTTTTTTCATTTACGTTAAAGTTATTTTGTCGATTTATCTGTTGCTTAAGTTTGATAAGTTAACAAACAAACGTATAGGAAAAGACGCACTAACTAAACGTAACAGAACAAAATAATATTAAAATAAAATTGTAATTGTAACTTTGTTTGTAATTTATTATTCGTTAACTTTCACTTTCAAGGGCTCAAATCGTTACAAAATTTATTTCTCAGTTTGTTGAACCCAATAAATGTATTCGAATTTATTTAGTGAAATTCAGACATCACAAGTTCACACGTGACCTTTACATCTACATTTCTAATTAAAACAAATAATCAATTCAGTTAATATTAACATGAATAATTATCAAAAGCCACTGAGTGATGAAATTAATAGCACAATTATGTTAATGTACTTATATCAAAATTAATCTTTCCGATAAATAACAATCAATTACTGTTCATCGCGAAATAGCTTAAATTATAAGCTTCTTGCTCCTCAACCAAGAAACATACTTACAAAATCAAAAATCAGCAAGGCCAATTCATAATTTTGTACCATGCCACGCTTAAATAATTCTCACAAAAGGTTAAACAGGCACCAATAAATCGCCAGCTCGATCATTAAATCACTTCGCGGCGCATCGTTAAATCCAAAGGAATCTTCAGCTCCCGCACACCACACCTGCCGTACCAAAAAAAAAGAAAAAAAGAACGCGTGCCGATAAGTCGCGCGCCAGCTAATGGTTCGACGAAAAAATAAAATAAAATAAGAAGAAAACACAGCGTGAGAACGTTTGCGAGAGAGACTGCGAGATAACATTTTTGACGGATGATTATTTGGACGACTACTCGATCAATTCTACCCTACACAAAACGAGAAAAGTAATTCCGTAGTAAAATATATCAGACGCTTTGAAAAGTATCTATTGCGAATAGCAATAACCATACACTGCGTTTATACAATAAAGCTCATTATAAGCTTGAAACGTAAACACGCACATGTCCATATATTTTAGAAAATAAACATAGGAAAAGAGCGCATAAATTGTGCAAATTGATCGTGTAAGCAAACACACTTTGGAGAAAAAAGAGAGAGAAGAGGATATACACAAGGCTTTTGACTCTAATTAAGTTGAGAGCGAGTTACGAGACTTAACTTCAATTAGAAATTATTTCTTGGGCGATAAATCTGTCCGAAATAATGAAACTCATGCGCGACGAATTGACTCTATGTATGTGTGACCCCTTAAGGCTTGCGCATATTCTTTTTTTCTTCCTTTGCGTAAAGATTCTTATCCACAATGATTTATTAATACGGCTGAAGCTAGAGATTCGTGATTAGATGTTTGTATTGATGTAACAGGGTCTGTTTGATTCGGAAATTTTTAACAATCTGCCATTGCTTTTCAAATTATGTTATGCATTTCTAGTAAACCAATTCGCTTAATAAATCAATGACAAAAGAAAAAATTATTTTTTGATTCACATAATTTAAGAAAATGTTTCTTGTCTTACGACTATGTTTTCTAGCAACACAACGGCATCAAAACAAAATTGTGTAGCGCGTGTTCCATTGAAATCAATCTATGAATATTCAGTGCAAATTAAGAGTCGATTTCACTTTAATCAGCACGATAGCTAAGCAAAACCGTCAATGACGTCCCCTCATCAAATGCGTATTAATAGCCGATAACTCACGTGCGACAAAAGGGGATGAAAAAATAGAGTCTTTTGAGGAGTACCGCCGTCTTCGTCGTTCACCTGCTGCGATCTCGGGGCAATCGATTATCTCATTAATTATTCATTCGCGGAGCATCAGCTTGCATTAGTATTTCACCCGGAATCGAGAGCAGCGATAATTTTTCCTTTCAAAATTCACTTTCATGGGGGCGGGGGGGGGGGGGGGCGGGTTGAAAGTGAGAGGAACAATGGTAATGTAGGTCGCGATGCTGATATCGCGTTGACTTCAATTAGTCGATCCATTGATCTGTCGTGACTGCTGCGCCCTTCTCCTTCTGTGATTATCATCGCGTGTAGGACAACAAATACTTTTGTGTGTGATGCACTCACCGTTTGTCTGAATCTAATTCTTTGGAATGGTTTTTCACGTGTATGGAAGCTATAAATTATGTATGAATTATTGCAAGTGATGATTTTCTAGATTGATTTATGGATCGTCGATGTAGTTTTTAATTCCAGTTGAATGTAAAGTGATGAAACAGAATGATATTTATCGATATAATAGGCATGATGAAATTTCAGTTGCTACTTAGGAAAATCATAAAGGACTAAATAACATCTTTCGTAGAGCTAAATTTTAGTTTTTTAAAAGAATTTTCCCTATGTCGGTAAATAAAACTTGTTTCAAATCTTTTCAACTTTTTAAGGATATCTAACTTTGTCTTTTGTAATTTTTTGAATTCATTTATAATTTAGAAAAAACTCCTTTTACATGTAAAGATATTTCTCACATTGGAGAAATAAAATAATACGAAGAATTGATTTTAGTGTGTCATCTTGCTTGTTTCAAAACGCCCCTGTAGATATGCAACAGATCAGCGGTCATAAACAAACTTTCATTTTCTTCCCCAACGGTCAATAATCACATGTGTGATTTTTATTTTAATAACATTTTTATCGCAATAGACTGAATTATTTTCTTGCTTTTTGATGTAGATAAAGTCTCTTATTGCAATTCTCACGAAACGCAATGCACAGATTTAAAGCAGTGAAAATAGAAGTTTCAAATTGATTCCTCAATCATCTCTAAAACTATATATCATTAAATCCACACGACAAGCTAGAATAATATATCGTATAATCATGGCAAATTCCCTGTCTCTTATCCTTTATCACCAGCATATCATTCGTTTACAAGATATGTAGGTGCATTACATCACGTATATACTATACACATCAAATCGTGGTAAAGTTCGAAACAATCGCGATATCTCGAAAGTTCCTCCCACGAGTACAACTTGTGTGTCCTTTTTTATTTCTCAGAGAGCGAAAACGCGGAAACAGCTGTATAGGAGCGCGCTGGCGAAATTTTTCAGCCATGCAAATTTCCAATTAGTATCGTCGTCGTCGTGGCAGCATGCTCTTTATAAATATATTAGTCACGACGAAGCGTCAAACTTTCTTTGAATGCCGTAATATCGCCGACTTACACTTTAATATATAGATCACGCGATTGTCATTAACATGCGGCTTTCACTTTGGGGATATATTTTATGAATGACTGATAATACTTATTTACAGTTTTCATGGTAAAACATATTTTTTTAAATGTATTTTTCAACTGAAATTTCTTTTTGAATTTTGAATTTAAAAACTTTTTTCAAATTATTAATTAAAAAAACGCATAGCAGGTACGGATGATAAAAAAATAAACAGTAACAGCGTTACTTTACACGCTTGTGAAACGTATATATTCATAGGGATTCATAGGGAGGACGTTCACGGTCACTTTTAAACGTACTTCGGTGATTAATGCAAGATTTACAAGCATAGATAAGTTGATTAACTGAGGATAATTTTGTAAATTATCGTATGTTTACAGAACCTTGTTATCTGAGCTAAAAATCGATTCTAGTTTCAAAAATACAAATTCAAAATATTTAATATCTCAATAGAACGTCAGTTAGAAAAAAAATTTACCTGATTTGTCCCACCAAAACAATCTCGTAAAAATCACATATTCATAACAAATACATTTTGGAAAATTTCATGGACTGGGTCGGTAATACATCGGAAATATCCGAAATAGAAATTTCCGCTGGCATCTGGAAATTGTCAAAGGTATATTATTTCGCAAAGCGAGCGTATAAAAGCACAAACAACATTATAATCGCAACAGAGATAGGCTGCGTGCATATGTTGCTGCGCGCGGCGTTTATTTTCGTCGTGTGAAAGTCCGCGAATAGAATACTGCACTTTTGCCTGCGAGAAATCAAAACAACAGATTATGGTCGATCGTCGCAGCTACTCTTTTGAGCAAACAACAACGCGACTTTGCTGCAAAAACAACTTTACTTTGATCGATTTTCACAGCTGATATAACAATTTTTATGACTTTCGTGCTGCTCAAGGAAAGTTAGCGTACATTGCTTTATCTTTTTGAGGTGAAACAACGACACCTTCCCATGTCTGAAAATTATTTCATAGCAGGTGTCATGTCTGTATTTATGTTCAGCACGGTCGTATTTTTCTCTACAGTTGCTAGATTGCTTTCAAAATCGAATAATTAAATGGCCAATAGAATCACAATTACTTATCTGTGAATATTCAAATCTTTATGCTGTACACAATTTTTTTTGAATTGTATTCTTAAATGCTCCTATTCCGAATTTAGTACTAAACAAACAAAAATGTCGTGTTTAACAAAACAAGAATCTTATTAAATAAAACAATTGTTTTATTTTTTAGAATAAATTTCTTAATTCAGCAAAGACTTTAAAATTAAAAAACAAACGTTTTTATTTTCTAAAAAAATTTTACACTTTCTAAGTTTCGTAGCATACTTTTCATATTGAGTTTAATGCCATTTTAGAAACAAATGTTCTTATTTCAAAATATACCTGCTATGCAATATTATATATTTTAAATGTATTTATTTGTATTCCTTTTCAAACTCAGTATTTAATGCAATACCAATATATTTCTAGTCTATAAATTATTCATTATATATAATGTTAATATTACAAACTTATCCTCGAACAAATTTAATAATTATTACAGTTTGAGTTTTGCAATTGGAATTTTATAAAATTGATTGACAAAATGTTTCAATATGCAAACTAATTTAAATAATATTTTTTAAAGTTAGATTTTATCAAATTGTAAACAAAAGCCTCATGAAAATACAATAGAAACTAATTTCCTTTTTATGACACCGAAACATTAAAACATACGTAAATTCAAGTTGCCGAATAATTACACTGTAACACCGCTGATGTCACCTGCGTAATTAACGTTATTTTTAAATATGATCGACATTTTTATTGTCACTAATCTTATTGTAGCAAGTTGCGTATTTCGAGAAGGTTTTTTATTTTTTACAAAAATGTTCTGTGCACAAGCGAATGTTAAAAGTAATATAATCACTTTATGTTTGAGGTAGATTTGTAGAAACAATGTCACGGAATGATGTTTGCCATACGCTCTAAAAATATGTTAGTATCAAAAGTGAAATAAATTAATAGCATTTCTCATAACCTTAAAATAATAAATAGATCGTTTTTTTCAGAGTAACATAACTTTACCTCATACGTGCATGCAAGTCGAGTTAAAACGTCAACCTCATCAAGATGTTTTATTACTAGGCCATTTCTATCTAGGATTCACATTTGCGTAAAAAATGTAAAAAAGAATATCAATAAACTGAGCCGGGTAGTTTTTTTTTTGTTTAACAACGATTTGACCTTCACATAAATGCAGTGAACGACGACAGGTTAGAAAAACAACTTGTCGTTTGCGAAAAAAAAATTCCTTCGTATTATCTCAACCGAATGCAAATAACATTGTAGTCTCTTTGCAGAGAGGGGAACTTCACCGATTATTATATAAAGCGAGGTAGCGGTCGTAAGAATTCATTATATGCAGTTGTAGTTGCAACAACATTAAGACTTACAAGTTTATTTGCAAAATGGGTAACTTAAAGGTCATCGCTATTCTGTGTGGTAGGTAAAATTCTACTACGCTGCTGAGAAGTCAATTTGTTCAAGTAACAAAAATTTGTGATTTCAGTTATTTTGGTAATAGCAAATGTCAATGCAGCTCCAAGGGCAGAAATGGGTAATGGATGTCTTTGTCCAAATACGATGGAATTACTACCAGTCTGTGCATCAAATGGACGTACTTATCCTAATGCAGGTGCCGTTCGCTGCGAAAATAAATGCAAAAGATTGAGTAATTATCATTGCTATGTATTACCTTATTAATATTATTTTGAGTGTTTATAATTGATAATTTTTCAATTTTTAGATCTTCGAATTGTTCACAATGGAAAATGTTGAAAACGGTCTCCTTATTAGTAAAGAGCTGTGGCCTCATATAAGAAAAATATTTTCATGTATTATCAAATATTTAAAAATTAAAAATAAATAAACTTTTAATTTCTATAATTTTTGTATATCTTTCGAAACTATATGTTTAATAACTAAACACCTTTTTTTCATACTGTGTTCATATCCTAACTGACACAATATTTTACAATTAAATAATGTTAATCAAGTAAACAATTCTGCAAAAATATTAATTACAATTAATTTTATTACATCAAAAAATGTAAATTTGAGAACGAAATATTTAGTACCTAAACAACCCATATTTTTCAAATAAAAGTGAACGAACTCTTGATAGCTTAATTTCTATGAAGAATTCTTATACATTTTATCTCTGTTTTAGCATAAAAAATACATTTTCGCTGTCTTGTAAGATGGTATGCTATCCATTAAGCAACGGGTTCTTTTTTAACTGCCAATTATACTTTTTTATCTGCTATAATCTAATGAGAATCCCTGCAAAAACTTCAGGATATTTTTCTTTTTTTGATGTTGAAAATATTGTGATTTTTATATAAATAGGGGGGGGGGGGGGTTAACTTGTTATATAAGATCGGAACACGGTCAAGAAGAGACAGTCACGTTATGTCGCGTTATGTCTGAAATTGACATAAAATTTTGAAAGTGATAGAAGAGTATTATATACGTATTATATTGTATTATATATGTATAATAAGATAAAAATGAACAAAAATAACAATTTATACATCATGCTTCTGAGTAAGTATTATAAATTTGGGATATTTATAGGATGCATGTTTTTACTATATATAAGCACTTGATCAATCATGTGCATTTTTATGTTAGGCCTTTTAGTAAGTTTCGTGACAAATATTGCCAGCCTAAATGAATATTCTGAGGAATATTTTTATCCAGTACCCTCGGAACCATGGGTGGAAGAAGGCTGTAATTGCATTACTAGTTTTACATATGATCCTGTTTGCGGATCTAATGGACAAACATATCCTAATTACGAATCATTGTATTGCGACTATGAATGTTACGGACGGAGTAAGTCTGCTTTTGTTTTTTAATTTCTTTAATTTATTTAATACTGATGGTTGACGTAAAATATTTTTTCTAGATTTATATGCGTTGTATGCTGGTGAATGCCAAACTTATGAACAGCAGTCGAGTCACTGACTAATGCAAATGAAATGTCTACAATATTTCAATCGATTGTAAGTTAATTAGATAATAAAGACTCGTAGCTAAAAATAATTGTTGTTGGAACTACTTATTAAAGAAACCGCACTCAAAATTTCTTTGTAGTAATGCTTTTCAAAAGTTTCGAAAATCTGTTTCGAAAATTACTATTCGATCGTTAATCGATTGATGTAGAAGAGAGATGTATTAATTTCTACGATTAGACATAACAACTTTTTATATAAAGCAGATCACCAGCAGTTTAACTTGCCTGAATTGTAATTTTCAGTAATAATTCAAGAATATGGCCAAGTTCAATGGTAAGAGGAGTAATTTTATTAATAGCGTAAATATAAATTAGCAGATCATATAGTTTTTTAATTTAAGACTTTTCATTGCAATGAAAAATTCTTCTTTAATTATAATCAAATGCATTTCCGTCGATAAATTTTCAAGAACAATAACAATAATAAAATATTTGGCAGTCCTTTTGGTATGCTTTGGCATGGTCAACGTTGCCGCTGTTTATGAACTTAAGAGTAACATTGAAAAGGATTGTCCTGCTTTTCCTACAGATTGTTAATGTAAGTGTGTGTGTAGTTACAATGGAATAACTTATGACAATATATCTGTTTTAAGGTGTCACAACAAATGCTTCAGTTCAGGTGAATTTGAAATAAAATAGAATGTATGAAACTATTGTTAAATAATATGATATATGAAAAATAAATATAATGTATAAAATTTATTCATGAATTTAGAAATAAAAATTGATCATTGCGGATTCTGTTATGCTGATATAAGCAAGTCGAGAATCGCAGGTGGCTGCCCACTGTGCGGTGTTACAACTGAACTAGTTACTGTTTGTGGAACTAACGGAATAACTTACCCCGGCAAATCTGCGCTAAATTGTGGAAACCGGTGTTACAAGTTGAATAAGTTTCAATTTTGAGTACCTCAAAATAAGCAAATTGTAATATATCAATAAATATTAATTGTAAAACTCTGTGTTTTAGTTATATCCAAGTGAAATATCTAACAATAAGAACTTGTGTTTAAAAGGTCCAAATATTATAACGATAAAGTAATATGATTTGACGCATAGTTTTTTTATTTCTATCCTAAAATCTTTTCTCATACCGGGAGATTACTCGTCGAAAAGCATTTGAGTTTTTAGAAAAAACTAGTTGGTTGAAATGATTTACCTAATTTTGAAAGCGATGTAGCTTTAATCAACAGCAATCATAGCAGTGCAAATAATTAAATATTTCAAGTAACAACAAGAACAACAACAACAACAACAACAACAACAACAACAACAACAACAACAACAACAACAACAACAGTAATAATAATAAATAGTACTCATTTATTATATAAATTGGAAAATTTACGGTCAAGAATATTCTACAAAAATATAAAATTTGATCTATAAGTCAAACACTAGTCAGGACTGTAGATGTAATTTGTTTAAATGATCAACCCAAAAGCATCTTTAAAAAATTTCGTAATTTGGAAAATTAATCTGTATTGATTTAGAGGAAGCAGTATTGTCATGGAAATATTCGTAAAGTCATGAGAATGTCAGTCTGAAATGACTCTTTGTTGGACTTGATTCATTCTTGAAACGTTTCCGAGATAATAGAAACAAGCACATTAAGCGAAGGATTATACATCCGCTATTATTTACAAGTTGATAAACATCGTGCCATCGTAAAATGGAAAAAAATAATTTTCAGAAATTGTAAACAATGTAATATGCGTCATTTTTTATCGTATCAATGATGATTTTCATAAAAATGGTCAAATACTAAAATCAGCTAATTTTCCATTATATCGTTTTAGTAAAGTACAAGATGATAAATTCATGGCAAAAATTATGCCTAAAATTTCTGACAATATTTCATCGAGAATAAATAAATGATAACATTTCAGCCCTTGTAAGTTGTCTTAATTCTATCAATACTGTTGCATTTGAAAGAAAGTTATTTTATCATCTATTTCATTAATTTGAATCTATTGTCAGACAAAACTATGAATTGTTTCACGAAAATTAATCTCTTTTATCTACCGTCAACATTTTTTCGAACTACACATCTGAAAGAAAATTAATAGTTATGCTGACGACGTTTGTAATTTCTATGAGAAAGAGTTTTGCAAGTACGATATTATTATATACCCCTGTAAAGAAGATTTATCAATTCCTTATTGCTAATGTATTCATGATAATGCAACATAATTATTGCAAAAGTAAAGAAATTTTCAATACGTTTTCCTATCTCAATAAAATATAATTCTACTCAAAACTATTGATAAAAATTAATTAACCGAAGCTTTTCAATTAAAACAAAAAATTTTTTTTTGATAAGTAGGAACGGCAACAAGCTTAATTATATAAACTTCGACCGGGTTTTCTAGGATAAATATCAAGAAATCTTCTCAACATAGCAAAGTGGGTTGTGTGAATTTTAATTCAATTTGTAAGTTACTTTTTCTACGTATTATATTAGTTAACCGCCAAAACTGATAATATATTATTATATGTAGTAATTTTATTCAGCACCGCGCTAATAAATGGATTTAAACTTTTTACAATGTCGATTGCATTGGATGAACATAGAGACAAATGTATCACAACATATATGAATATCTTCTAATTTGCGAGTCGGATAGACAAACTTATCCCATTTTCGGTTTACTGCAATGCTTCAATGAGTACTGCGGATTGAATGATTTTTCAATATCGAATAGTAAATGTATCAATATTGATATATTTTTCTTATATTCATTTATTTTCAGATTCGGAAGTTTTACACGATGGCCAGTGCGAATAATTTGCTCTTTTTTCAATGTCAAACTTTTGTTGCAGTAATGAAAATATACACAGAATTCTTGCACTCGTATATAGCGGATACCATCCGAGCGTAAATTATGCCTCTGTCAACTGTGCGCTATACAAGTATAACCCTGATTCTCCGGATATGCGTTCTTTACTTATCGTATGTGACGTGGTTTTCATAAATATTCAATAAAACTTTCTTCAATCTCTCTTTATAATTATATTATTTATAATTATATTCTTGAAGAAAATAGTCGGCATTGATCTTTGCTTTTCGCACTACAAAAACGAATGCATATTCTTAAATCAAGAAATTTAATTAGTTTAGTTAGTCCTAAAATATAATAAGAAATAAATTTCTTTAATTATGTGTATTTAGAGTTAAACTTAAGAAAAGTCTTATATTTATGAAGCTTGCTAAGATTTTTAAATATTTATTATTATGATCCACGTAGTATAGTTTTTAACGTTATCAAATTATTTCTATGAAAAATTGAACGCAGGTTTTAATAAAAAATACGTTAGAACTACGGGGGATTAATTTATAGATTGAACTCTGAAAAAATACTTTTAATCAAAATCTAAAATATCAAGATATTTACATATATTTTGTAATTTCGTAGAGGTAAACAATATTTCTGCAACTCTGAAAAAACGAACCAACTTTACCACGTAAAGTTGAATTAAATCTCTTTATTTGCAACAAGTTGTTGACCAAATTTTTGCTCATATATGCGATTTCATAATGTGAAGATTTTCATAATGAATCTATCACATCAGTTACTTGCACACCGTTAAAACGTTGTTTTCGTGTCCCAAAGCTTTTGATATAGAAACGATAAACGATTTCATCATATCCTCAAGCGAGAATTTCCAAGTCTGTGAGTCAAATAAAAACCAGCGACGCACATCAGTCTTCGGCAGTCGTTCGAAGCATCAGTGTTGATCTTATCATCCGTGTCGTCACGAAACTTGCAATATGGCTAAGTTAGCAGTTTTCTTTACATTATGTAAGTTAATGATTTTATATGTATATTTATAAAGAGTAAGCGATAATGTTATCATAATCAACCACTAGATCTTGTATTGAGATAGTCGAAGTATTGATAGCGCGACAAAAGTTCAATGAGATGTCACAAAGTACTGCAAATGAAGATGGCAAAAGATATGAATTACTTTTAAACAAAATTCTATAAATATATTGTTTTTTTAAATTCATAACTTTCTTTGCTATTTATCGAAATCGTTCCTTATCATAGACGTCAAGATAGTCTGGTTTTAACTTTTAAACTCGGAACTATTCACTGAGCAATGTAAACTAAACTCATATGGTAAGCAGAAAAATTGTATCTAACTGATAGTGAAACTGACTTTTGAAAACGGATAAAAATTATTTGATTTTGAAAGTTAAAGCGAGACTCATTTAACGTCTATGTCTAAATAAGGCATTTAAGTACCCAAAAATAATCATAGTAGAAGTAGTTTAATTCTAGACCTATTTGAGTATTTAGTTGTTATCTTGAAATCATGACACACGAAAAGTTTATCGAATGCCGTTAAACGCTCTTGACTACAAACAATTTTATGCTAACAAAATGCAAAATCACACAAACAACTCTATACATATTTCGATAAAGAAAGTTTTGTTTTTCTATACGAGCGATTTACATATGTGTTATCCGATTATTTAAATTTACAGTGATGCTCGCCTGCCACATGGTGTTAAGTGTCAATGCGCAACCTTTGAATGATAAACAATCCTGCCTCTGTGCTACTACCGACGATTTGAATTGGGTGTGTGGAAGCGATGGTCAGAGCTACGTTAATCTATCGACTCTCGAGTGTGAAAAGAAATGCAAAAGACGTTGTAAGTTTCAATCCTGTATTTCATAATTCATATGCGTTTCCAAATTGAACGTATTTTCTTTTCTTTTTCAGCGGTTGAAATGAGCCACAGAGGCAAATGCTGAACTTTATAGCTATCGATTAGAACTCATACAAATATTTGTTTTATCGCCAATCATTGTGACATTAAAATAAATGTGATAGTTGAGATAAGATATTTGGAATTTATTAAATCGTTTACGTGAGAATTAGACTTGTAACATTCGCATCCGGGAGAGAAAAAAAGAAAATTTCAATTTGAAACTTCAAGCTCCGATGTAATATACTTTGAATGTTCTATCGAATTCCGCTAAGCCTTACGATTTTCTACGTAAACGTCACCAATGTCAAGACGAGAATTTACAAAAAGAAAGTTCGCATCGCAAAATAAAGAAAAAATCCACGCCGTTACCTTGTATAGCTTCGATAAAAGTCACCTGGTAACATACAATTCGTGACCAAATGCAACACACATGTAACGGGGCGTCATGATTTTAATTATCACCGTTAGGCGAAAATAAGATTCGTGAATTTAATGCGTGTATCTCTGATCCACCCAGCCACCCACCCGATTGCACGGCGATACAGTAAATAAAATAATGTTTTTTGGTTTAGCTATCGCTGGAATAGTTGCAATTTCTCGGTAGCTGGCGTAATATAAATTCAGATTTCCCGTTTGCGCGTATTTACGCGGAAGCCCCGGATACGTGTGCATATGTGACTCGCTACATCTCGCCAAAAATATCACATTGTACGTCGCCGTCGGGATTTTCATGTGAAGGTCGCGCGAGTTTAACGCCGCTGTATTTTCGCGCATTTTCCCGAAGCCCGATAAGAATAATGTAGAGCGGTTATTTTCATGGGTAAGTAATCGATACAACGACTCCGAGCAACGAAAAACAAAACATTTGTTCTTTACCTGTGGTTAATGAAGCTGAAGCCGAAAAGGGCCTCTCGTAATTTCGGCGTGTTTATGGGCGGCGAGAAAAAAATCGTAGAGCGTAAATAATAAGTGGTTTTTTCTTTTTCCTTTGGCGAAACGATTTACGATCGCTTCGATTGCTCGCTGCGCCGGACTTGGAGTTATACGTTATGACACTTTGCCGAGCAGAGGCTCGAAAATTCAATGTGCTTTTTTTCCCCCTCGGTTATTACCCAGAGATTAATGAGTATCGTAATGGAGCGATTGCAAACGGCGTAAAATATTTGAGATTGCGCGATGAAGTTGGGACATTAAGCGACGCCGAAAAAATGAAAGTTCAACAAGCTAAGCATCTGGCGTGTCGTTTGTAAACCCCGGTGTTTACAGCGGTGATTTGGCTAACAAAAAAGAAGTGTATCGATAAGACGTCAGCCTTTAAGGCTTTTAAAAGCGAGAGAGCAAGAGCGCGAGAGTACTGTTATAGTCCGCGTGCGGGAAATATACCGTTTTCGCTTGTGTGCTCTTCTTTACGAGCTTCAGATGCGGCTGCTACACCGCCCACACACACATGCAACGCCCTTGAAAATAAATTCACCAACTTGATGGATTTTCACGATAGAAAAATTATTATCATGCTAACTTGAATTGTTCCGTTACGTAAAATTAGGGAAAGCTTGCTGATCATCATAATAATATTCTATTTCATGTGTATGTATATGGGTGACAACGATAATACAAGTTGCTTCGTGCAAAAAGATTGAGCAGGACGATTTGCTCGAGAACGTGGGATAATACGGTTTGGGCTATTGTCTGATCTTATCGCAGAGACCGAGTGCATGATGATATTCTAGGATAAATGTAGGCTCTTGTGTGGCCTAGTTATCGTTCTTTTACGGTGCAATAATGTTAATGTACCTTACTTTGAAGGAATTTGTCAAGGAGAATATTTACTTTTATTCATTTATTTCTGAAAAAAAGCTCATTTCTTTTCTAACCCCACGCGTGCCTATCAAGCAGAGCGCCCAATAGGCAAGTCTCATTTCGACTACTCGTTGTACTGTTATTTCTTTCGGGATTTTCAAATAAGTTAAAAGGGATACATTTTTTTAATTTTTGCGTGAAATTAAACTTCCAGAAAATATATTGCGTAAAATTGTTCACCCCTTACAAGTTTATTCAGACCAGATTGAAACTTCATCGCCTCCCCCTTGAAACTTAAGGTTTCTTCCTCAATTAATATATAAAGTTACCAGACGCAACATAATAATTTTACTTGGACAAAAAATAATATAAATAAGTGTGCCAGTGCGGTTGCTCGAGAAAGTCTTCAATCGCACGCGATGTATATTCTATTTCCACGCGCGTGAAATAAAATTTCTCCCGCGATTTAATGAATCGCGTGTATACGCGTGTTCGTTTATACTTTCGCAAGACAAAAAATAAAATCGCATTTACAACAAAGCCCGAGATGCCCTTTAGCGAAAGTTTAGCGCATGATGAGGCTTTTACTTTGCGGTATGGAGCTTTTAGCCGATTGTTAAGGTTTATGTCAAGTGAAAAGTCAAAGATTTATCGTGCTATTGTCTACGTTTATATTTCTACTAGAGAGCTACATCATGATACGAAATAGCTACAAGTTAAAAGCCGGGAGATTTCGGTGGTTAGTTCCGTTGCCAGTATGGATAAAAATCTGCAGGGGTAGAACTAGAAGAAGTGCTATTTGTTTTGCCAAAACGTCTGCCGCTATATTTGAAATCACCAACGAGATGACCTATACTCTTACTATTTCCTTCACTCTTGAATTCGCCATTGAAACCGATTCCTTTGAGAGCGTCTGTTACAGATTTGGCCAGAGCTTCGACTTTGCCTTTGAAATTACTGTCACCGGTAAAGTCAAATTTCAAGATGCCATTAAAGTGACCATCACCTGACTGCAAGTAAAACATATTTTTAGAATTTTATCGGGGACTTTACTAAAAGTTCCAATGATATACAGTCTATCAAATCACCAAAATAAGGAAATACAAAGAATGAAAATGACTTGAAGCTTACACTTTTGTCATCAGCGGGACTTGCCAAGACGACAACCGCGAGAGCCAATACCAAAAAGAGGGTTTTCATTGTTGATGAATCGTTGATTTCTACGAAAGCAAATTTGAAGCATGAAATTGACAAAAATTTGAAATAGTCTGAATTTGCACTTACTTGAGCTGCGGCTATGAAGTATCAGAGAAGTTTGGAATAACTGACGATTTCCGCACTCATCGCCAAGCTTTATATACTAAACCAAGCGACGATGTCACATTGCAAATTTTTTCAAAACAATCGGATTCTACGTCAAAAAGAATATCGTACGTTTTTTCAACAATAGCTTTTCGCTTCCCAATACGTATCCATTGAAAAGCTCATTATTCTTATCTGTCTGTTTCGTCTCATCTCAATGCGCAAGCACGCACTTGAACACGTCAACTAATCGATGTATAATCAGACGCGAACGATTTCGAGAGTAAAAAAGCTCGCTGGAAAAGATTCAAGATCAAAGAAACATTCACTTGTGTTTTCTGGTCCAAGATCGTTGTACGATTAAGCATCGCCAGTGAAGAAGGAAAAAAAGATATGTCTTAATGAATTTATTGATGTTTGGTGTACGAGTTACCAACTTCCTGCGCGGCGTCGCGTGGTCGAAGATAAATGCGAATTTCGACACCAAAAAGGCGTCAATGGCCCCTAATAACACTTTCTTTTTCATAATACTTGTTTAGATAGCTGTTTTGTTCTACAGACTTACTGACAACGTGCGAATTGTTGACTTATTTGCGAGAGCTTACACATAAAAATCTTCGACGTTTTGTTTCTTTTTCTTTCTTCAGCTGTGCTTTTTATGAAAAAACAAAAAAAAAACAAGAAATAAAATCAAAAGCTTGTTCGATGCTACAAAGTTATTCAATCTCGTGTACGAATATCGAGTGTTTATGAATTAAATCTGTATTAAAATATTCGATTATTAAATAGCGCATTTCAACCGAAAGGCAAAAGGCTGAAGAAGCTAACGACTAACCTAAAGCAATCGATCTTTCGTTGTAAGTCTTTAAAAGTAAATGTTGAATATCCCTTGGGCAAACACGCACCGACGACATAAAAAGAAGGGAAACGAATACGTAAAGGCTGGAAAAAGAGAAGAAAGGAATGTTGTTTTCTCTCGCGTGCCTCTTTTTATTTTTAAGCGCGCGGAAGATGCGTATAAAGAAAGTACTTTCTTGCTTCGCGAGCGCACGGAAGATATAAAGAGCTTTCGGGAAGTCGTATACACTTTTCGTGAGCTTTCGGAGAGGATGTGCGAAATGACAGTCGTTGCGCGATGTCAATGGGAGAAGCCCGACCGACGCTGACAGTCTCGCCAAATTAATTAAAGCTCGTCGTCGTCGTGGAGCGAATAACATCCGATCAATCAGAAAATCCTCGCAAGGCAAGAGCGCGTCGTGGAAAAAATAGCAAAATAAACCGTTTGTCACGGAGGCGTGCGCTCGCTTGTATTTTAATAATAAACAAAAATGAATCAGTCTGCCGAGCGTCATAAAAGCTCGACAAATTAAAACGGCGCGCGTGCACTAGCCTTGAGGTTTTCGAAACGCAATAAAGATACGTCTTTCCTGCCTATTGTGCGTACGTGCGTAGGGGCTTCGGTGAGTTACGCATCACGCGAGGCGGCTTCTTTTCGGGAAAAATCACTGACGGGGTAAACGAGTTTTCGCTTCTCGTTGCTCTCTGTTATTGAAATAATTATATAAATTGCGCTTTCAGATAATAAAATGTAGTGTATATTTTTTTGCCGAGAGTTGAATAGTCGTTCTTGAGAGCTCATTAGTGCGATTTATTGCCATTATTAATATGCTATTAGTCAAGATTTATCTTTTGGAACTATATATTTAGATTCCAAATGAGATTTTATTCGTGCATTCTCCTTCGAATGTTGGTTATGAGGATATTAACAATTCAAATTAAAAATTCTAGAAACATTTTTAAATATCCAGGTCAGGTCATCAAACACTTGAAGGCTGTTTATGATGTCTGATATGATTTATGGAACACTAGAGGAATGCGCGTGCACTCCACACTATATCGTAGTATTCTTTTATTGTAATCTTAATGGAAAGACTCGGCTTACCTGGTTAATTATCATTCATGACTAATGGAATGTATAACTCGTGCTCTAGTCTTATCGTCTCCGTTTTCTGTATAATCCCTCAGAAAAATCCAAACATAACAAAAATTCTAATAGAAGCGTTTTCCAACTATTGGAAAAGATGAGCTATTCTCAGTATTCATTGAATTGCCGTTAGCACCCTTGTATTTCATAAATATTCCAAGAGTTTGGTATGCCGACCTTAATTACAAAGACGCCTTTTCCCTGGAAAAGACGACATTTAAAATTCCATCGCGATATTTCCGCCATCTTTCTCTCTCACTCCCTGTATTGGAAGTAGTTTATCAAAGGTCGTTTATCAAAGTGTGTGCTATGATTTAAGAGCGCTTTTTAACGGGCGACGGAGAGGTCGCAAAGTCACTTCCTGGGGGAGGGGGGAGCTAATTCACCTTGTAATTATTATTGTTGCTGCTTGCTGTTGTTGTTGCTGCTACGCTATCAAGATTATTTACGGGCGATCTGAGAGTCACTAAGAGAAAACCGTAATAATAATGCCACTTATATGTATTTTCTACGCGTGTATGTGAAAATCACGGGAAAGAGTAGAATAAAATGTGCTGCAGTTCCATGTAAAATGTCAATTTTAATGGATTTTGTAACTTTTCGAGAAGCTTGAAATAAGAAAAAAATGTGTTATTGGTAAACTACTGTTATCTAAACTTGTAACAAAAATGAGAACTATTCATTTAAGAGTTTTCTTGATTCAAAATTCAACGCATATACGTAAATGTGAACTTGATCTTATGTACGTTAAAGAGATTAGTAAAGTAAATATTATGTGTGATATTGTGTAACAAATCAAGAAATATATTGTAACAGAATGACTAAACAATCAGTTCGTTCAAACTGCAGGATGAAATAAATCACTTTATCGCGCGTACGAATGCCTGAAAATCGCTCGCACACACGATATATGCATAAAATTTACCATATTTACGGACAATTTACAATAGGATAAATCAAACAAAACGTGCTCTGGTGCAGGTGCGTACGCTGAAAATATCTATATCGGGTTATTCGAAGAGAGAGAGAGAGAGAGAGAGAGAGAGAGAGAGAGAGAGAGAGAGAGAGAAAGAGAGAAAGAGAGAGAAAGAGAGATTGCCTTTTAAGGTGCCGCTAAAACACGGATTTATGCGGCAAGTGCCGTCGCCGCGATGTTTACGCCGTGTTTATAATACCGAATGATCGCACAGGAATGTATGTATATACCTTGTATTCTTCTAACAAGGAATTATATATTTTAGCCGATAAATATCGTTGTTTCGGAAAAGGGCTGCAAAGGCTTGAATAGAGGAATTATTTGGCATTATCTATTTTCGCGGAAATGAGCTTTTTGATTTTGTGCAGAAAGGCTTCGCAAGGCGCCTGCACCGTCCTCAACCAGGAACGCACAAGGACCGCTCGCGCGAAAAGCCAAGAGGTGCGCGCACTAAATGTCCGCTGCAGGTCCGCTTTGATCGTCCCGTTGAGGATACGTACTCGCGTGGTGTGTCGCCGATCACGACCATCATTCCTTTCTCTCTGAGATCGAAGTTGAGACGCATCCCTCGCGTGATTTATCACGGCCACAAATATGATAATTGCTGGAACAATGCGCACGAGGAGGACGTACGCGCGCAAGTGGTCTAAGGCCCAATTACACGCAGAGATACTTTCTTTTACGACGTTACAAAGCCTCTCTCTAAGCGCTTCTTGATTTATCGTTCTGCGGTGTATACGTGAGATGTCAGTGCAACGCGTTCTTGCGGTGAGAAGTTACGCGCGCACGCGCATCGTTTTCGATACAAATCTTATTCTTTGTTTCAAAGACATCTGCGCGGAAAAGAAAAAAATATTACGCGTACATTGTGTCGAGCGAGGGCTCGGAGAATAATTACGGCTTTTAACGATTAAGCGAAGCCAGCGGTTATCGAAATCAGAAAACCTTGTCGAGGAAGGGACGGAATAGTTTTGCCCCTTTAGGCCGTATATCATTTGCCGCGCGACTGACACCTCGTCTAACGTCTTCATAGCCGCAAGTTCTATACACTCTCGCGGAGAAAGAGAGGCCGTCAATTATATATACTGCCTAGGAAATAAGAAAAAATATATTATGTTTACGTGCACCTTTTACGAGTCCTTCGCTCTCTTCACGCTACTATAGAGCTTGCAAACTCCGTTTTCTGTAATAGTTAAGTGCAAACTCGATTACGATGTACCGAAAATACAAGTAAGGAAGTGTTGGATTTCCGTATTGATGTCGTGTACGAAGGGTTTTAAATGGAATTTATGCGAATTCCGTTAAATGGGGATTGTATAAAAGTTCGTTTTTTTTTTATTTTTCATTCGAATCGTTACTTTATTGACGGTAAGTTATTTCATTGTTAAACTATACAGATTTTAAGATTGACATCGAAAGCTGATACTAAAGATGGAAAAACGCAAAAAATCGTAATTTCTCTTGTTCATTCCTCGTCTGCCTGGCATCATTAAATACTCGCACTGAACCTTCTGCACGAAATCCACATCTTTCACACATGCACACACAATATGTATCTCTCAACGTGTCCAAATGACAAATGGCAACACGTCGGAGAGCGAGCAAACTTTCCACATCCTGTCGACAGATGCATCCGTCAGGTAAGTAGATATGCTACTGCCGTGTTATTTCATTTATGCTATTATTATTTGTCTTGCTTATCACATGTTTGGTCGCTCATCGAACGGTATCTTGCGAATTCGTGATGTGCATAAGGTGCAAAAAAAAACATGGAAAAAAGCAGGTCAAAGTTCCCTTGTACAACGATTTACCATACAATGCGCAGCCCTCGGCTGTGTATTTAATATCGACTGTTGTTGTTAATAATTTTTTTTCTACGGTAGCTTCGCGTGTATTATAACGGTATGACATTATAGGCAAATGAGGTGGGATGTATAACGGATCACACAAAAGCTTCCGCCTGTACGTGAGTTTGCGCATCGGTTAGACTCATTACGCGCTCTTATAGCTGGATGAAAGCGAAATCCGCGAGAGACAACCCGTGGCGACTCACGAATTATTGCTACCGCGTATGAATGTGAATGTACCAATACTCACGATTAGTCGAGCGAATGATGTTGCGTCACATATACAGGTAGAACCACTTTTTTCAGTGCAAGATGATTTCTCTCTCTCTCTCTCTCTCTCTCTCTCTCTCTCTCTCTCTCTCTCTCTCTCTCTCTCTCTCTCTCTCTCTCTCTCTAGTTGTTTCGGGACAGGGTTTCGTGCAGTGAGTTTACGAAAAGTGGGTTTTTAACAATGTATACTCAGAGATATTTTTACGTCACGGAAATCGGTGTGGCCGATATTTGGTATTTTTGGATGCTATTTATCATAAAATTGAATTTAACCACCATCTTGTAAAAAGCAAAGCTTAAAATTTAACGATTTGTATGGATTTTTACAATGTGAATGACTGAAAAATTATATTTCTTTATCACTATAGCTGATAATTGTGTTTCGTTACCAACTTACAAACTCTCATATGATTTAATACGGAGAGATCACTTTATATCACACTTTACGTCACTGTCCTAATACTTTTTTCATTTTCTATTGTGAGACCGGTATGTGCTCGAAAATTGCAAAAAGTAACCAAAGTTTAATTTAAAAAAATCAAAATGCTGCGGGTTATTCAAATTCAAATTTCATTCAAAAATAACGAATGTCTCCTCGCTCGCTATCTGTAAGACGACATCTATCTGATGATAAATAAAAGACGAGGTTCAAACGGCGAAGAGAAACAGAGAGAGAGAGAGAGAGAGAGAGAGAGAGAGAGAGAGAGAGAGAGAGAGACAGACAGAGAGAGACAGACAGACAGAGAGAAGACGCGGCAAATTGCGCGGCTAGCAGATATCTCTCGAAGCGAATCGATTTGGATTCAAGCGGAAAAGACATCTCATATACGAGAGATGCGCTCGAGAGAGAGAGAGAGAGAGAGAGAGAGAGAGAGAGAGAGAGAGAGAGAGAAAGAGAGAGAGACTGGCGCACGATATTTATTACCCAACAAAAGACGCGACATCACCGTGTGCTTCGCGCTCGACGGGGGGAACAATGTTGTCTTTGGAAAGCCATTCCTCTAAATACACTTTCCAGACGATATTGTTTATTTATGCACTGGAGATTTCGAAGATCTCACTCGATTTGAGAAAAGATAATGTTTCTATATTCCGCAAATTGAATAATAAAAAATCGAATATAACGCGCAGGTAGACTCGCGTGCAGCGAGAGAGTCCCTTCAGTCAACACACGTTACATCTATACGCGGGGAGAAGTCCCTAAGCGCTTGTAACGATTCGCGAGGAGATTTAATAAATCGGATTGGCAATCGGCATGCGAATGTTCGCGAGGCGCTCTCTTACCTTTATCTGGCAAGTGAAAAAGAGAAAAAAAAAGACGAAAGAAGCGAAATAACACAGCAGCGGCTAGAGCAAAAAGTATTTTTCTTCGTGTGTCGAGAGAAAACAAAAAGAATAGTTCTGTTCCCGAGAGAAGTTGTTGCTGTTATTTTTATGATACTCTCGTGGTCGCTGAAACGGGGATAGACGGTGCGCGTTTGTTGCAACAACTCCGAATGGATATAATCCAAGGAGCGATTAGAAGAGGCGAGTGTGTAAGTCAATATCATGCCAACGTGGGCATGTATAAAAACAGCAATGCGAGACACGGCACGTTTTCGGTTTCATTGCTGTGCGCGTCTTATCGGATAAAAGCTTTCTTTCCGAAATCTCGCAGCTCCGCGCGCCTTCCTACACATATTACGCACGAAAATATCCGCGAGGAAGTTTGAACAAAATTGTTTTTATCATCGTGTGTCTATTTGGATGTACACGCTCGTGCGTCTATCTTTAAACTGTCTTGTTGTGCTTGTCGCATAATGAAAAAGTCTTCGCGAACGATTTCATTTCTTCCTCTGTCTGTCGAGATTTAAATTTTATTAGGCACGGAAGACATAAAAAAACATAAGCGCGAATAAACGTAAACACAGTTGGCGCCAGGCGTCGTCGTCTAAACTAGTTTCTTTTTTTAAATCTGTCTTTTTCGCTGCTAATTGAGTCGTTTATACTTTAGAAACAATATGTAGCTAATTCTTTTCGTTTTTTAAATGCTCTCGGATATAAATCCTACGAACATTTGTCGAGAAGTAAAAGAGAAGACTATATATATATACATATATATATATATATATATATATATATATATATATATATATATATATATATATATATATATATATATATATCAACCGAACGACAAGCTTCGAAGCAACAAGCGATCCTTAGCTAAAAATAATCCGTCAATGATGAATCTTCCTACCCGCAGTGAACATCGAAAATAACTTTTTTGTGCAGGTCAGTAGCCTTTCTGTGTTTCGCAGCTTTGTGACGATGACTGACAATGGTGTGAAAATTAGGCGCATACGGCCATAGTTGGTTACTTTACCTGGCGCCATCGCAACGGAACAAAGAGCCTCGCTTCTTGAATAATTCAGATAGGGAGGAATGGAAATACGCAAAAACTGATTTATTGTGTTTAATGTCGTATTTTAATATTTGGAAGGTCGCCCTGTGAAATGGGATTTATTCGATGTTTTCTAAGAATGGTGCTTGCTAAAAGTACGTTTTTGGTTAAATATACAAGTCAATAAATCAAAGCAGTGATATTAATAAGCAAAAATAAAAGCGTAAAAATTGGCCAAGTGATTGATCGAAAAACAAGGTTTACACCAGTCGAGATTACGCGGAGCACTGATTGATTGATGGTGTAGCAGCGAGTCTACAAGTGAAAACATCGAGATTAACACGGTAATTTAATAATTTGACGGGTCATTCCGTCACACTCACAATTAATTAATTACAAGAAGGTACAATTCTAAATTCGATTGAGATGATGCGCATTTAATATTAGACCCATGAGCGAAAGATCAAGATATTATAAATTGTAATCACAACCCCCGTTATGTATCAAAAAGCGAATACATAAAGTTAACCACACGTACAGGTACAAGTTATGAGTTACCCACCTAGAGATCATATACTTAATCTTAAGCAAGTTGTGACTTTGTATGTATGTCTGCCTAAATTTCTTGCCTAGTACGATGAGCTTAGCTGGCTCATACATACAAAGTCGCAACTTGCTTAAGATTAATGCAACTTCTAGCTGGGTAACTCATAACATATTGTACATGTAGTTGGACTTTACGAATACGCTTTTTGATACATAATGGGAGTTGTGATTACAAATTATAATATCTTGATCTTTCGTTCATGGGGTTAAAATTAAATGAGCGTCATTTCAATCAAATTTAGAATTGTACCTTCTTACAATTAATGTCAACGTGCGATATCGCTGAATGAAAAAAGGAAGTACTTTTTTTCTGCCGGATATATAAAAATAAATTAACAAAATTCCAAAGAAATTCGTTATGCAATCGGCGCAAGGGCATTGATGAAAGTATACGTATTTTTTTACTTTCACTCGCGAATAGGGTTTAACGACTCGACTTTGAATGATTCACAAGTCTTTTATGCGATCTAAAGAATTTTTCACTTTTTCCTTGGATGCAGCGATTGAACAGATCGTTCGTTTGAATTATTCTTAGCTCTGATAAATTCGATTGAGATGCTCGGAGTATGATTGAATTGTCACGCTTAGGTGAACTTTGTTTTGTGATTAAACATATAAGAATGTCTTACCTTTTTCAATCTGGTGATATGTGCTTGATGAGAACATCTTTTCAAATTGTCAAATAGCAAAATACGAAAATTTTTATTTTGATATTTTATATATAAACGCATAATAATTGATAAAAAGGAATGGAGGAAAATTATCACTGAAAATAATGATTTTTACTAACCAAAGAATTTTATTCTTCAATTCACTATAACAAGTGACTAGCACTTAAAATACAATTTTTCTATTATAATCGTCGAACAATATTTCCTCGCAGAAACCGGAAGAAAGGTTGCACATGCTGTATCTAAAAGTCATATACGAGAAAAAAACATACAATTGGAATGTTGAAAAGCCTTTAAGAGGTTTTTAAGGAAAGGTTTACGTATAAAAAACCAAAAAAAAAATAAAAGGCACTGACGCGGCTATGATACAAAATCTAGCATTACAAAGGTCGCGGTGTGTATGTATAAATGTGCATAACATGTTTATACGTGTGTATGTATATTTATAATTATGTGTGCAAGAGCGAACCATCTGTGTGTATTACAAGTACAAAAAAAGAAGTTTTTATGTGTGTTGCATGGGTTCAAAGGGATGTTAAAATATACAAGCCTACAAGTTCTCTCGACGACGTATACTCGTCGTTTTTTATCATTGCTTGAACAAGGGAAGAACTCAATGAATCATCCATTGACTTTTATTCCATATGTAATTGTCGTGAAATTACATACATTTTTTTTTCGTGTAAATGGCAACGGATCATAAAAAATCGTACGTTGTCGCTGTGAAGATTTCATTTTGCAGTAAAAAATATTTTTCTGATACCTTACGATTTACATGATTCATGCAAATACTTTCGGCTTAAACTCTAGTAATCATATACAAAACCTTATACTCTAGACGCTTTTAATGTTTAACCGCATTCTCTCACTGGCATTTATGCTCTCTCGTTCTTACTTATTTAACGTTTATAACTTTAGGAACATAAAGATTTACAAAAAATATTCGCTCGCTTGCGGAAATAAAAATTTCAAGATTTTCATTTTTTGCCGCTCGATATCACATTTTTTAATTTCTTATTGTTCAATTTGATTGAAAGTGCACATTTTACTTGAAAAAAAAGAAGAAAAGCACAATCCGTAAGATACTGTAGCGCGTTGCCCCGATAAGGCACATAATTAATTGCTTGGTGATGAGTGTTTTGTGGTATAAACGTTGATTTTTTCTTTTTTAAAAGACACACGGGTATAACGCATGTATATATGAAACTTTCATTTTTGATTTGTCGAAAAAGTGTCAAGAGCTCTTTACCAGTGTGAAAGTGTCATTTTTGTTCGGGAAATATTAACGCTTCAACGTACACACTCAATGTGCCTGCAAGGTTGCTTGTTGGCGACAAGTATCGGATAATTAAATGTTTGTTTGCTTCCTCAAATTTCTTTTCGTCTTCGCTCGTAAACTCCTCATCGAACGAGAGTTGAAATTTTCAAAAAAAAAAAAAAAAAAAAAAATATCTCCGCAATGATATCGTGCAATAATATGTACAAAGTTCACTCGACTCAAATGAAAAAGAATTTTTTTTCACGTGTATATACGCCGAGTTTCGTCTTGCTCGTTTACATTAGCGCCACTCTCACCTGTTGCTCGATTGCGCGTACACACGCGTATATATATACGCGCCACCCACGTGTGTGGTGTTTCGTATGCCTCGACTTTCGCTTTTGCTTCGTTGATTTTTTTTTTTTAATTATCTCTCTCTCTCTCTTTCGCGCGCGCGCGCTCTTTCGAAGTCGGAAGGGAAGGACTAAGGCCAGCCTTGTGCTTCTTCGTTTTTATCACAAATTATCCTCATTGTTCATAAAGAAAGTATTACACTCTTACTTTCTTTCTCATGATTTATTCATTATATTTCTTTTGGCCAATTCAATGTTTCTTGTTTTTGAGTCTTTCCCAATTACTTGTATTAATATATTTACTCGTGATTGGAAAATATATATGTTTCCTTGCGAGTCAATCGTATTGCTTTCGTTACTAAAATAAGTACAAAAATATGTATTTATGAAATTTGTTGAACAACACAAAACTCGTTTGTCAAGTCCGTCTAACCGACATTGCAAATCTTTTGGTCAACTCTGCCCTATCGAAGAAATCGGTCATGAGCAAATGTCAGCTATAAACAAATGGTTTCCAAATGATCGGTAATGCCAATTCTTGACAATTGTCAATCGGTAAAATAGACGCAATGAGAAGTAAGAAGAAGCCTCTGCGAAGGAAAGCGTCATTTGTGTTGCGCGTGTGCGCACAGGCGATGGGTCAGCGAGTCGCGACAACGGCGGCACGGCTGCTAAGGACAACGACATCCTGGCGGCAGCCTGGCTCGTCTCGCGTACCAAGTAGGAGGGCGCAAACGAGTCGTCATATACTCAGCGACGGCCTTTTCTTACGATCCTTTGCGTTGCCGTTACCATTGTTATTGTTGTTATTCTTGCCGAATATCGTGCCGAGTACACGCGATACCGAATGCACGCCTAATTTCCGCCGAATTGGCAATGCTCGTAGTAATTGTACGGAACGTGCCTCGCGTAGGAGTCCTTGGAAAGCCAATGCTGCACCTGCGGGACTCTCGGCTGCGCTTACTTCGTAGAATTGACAGCCGTGGGCCAGCGATAATTGTTGGCCTTCGTCAACGCACACCTCTCTGAAACACATTGACGCCAGTTTTGGCCTTTAGATCATTGCATTCTACTTGTAAATAATACATTTTCGTTCGTTACGGAGTCTCGTGCTCGTTCAATCAGAAGCTTTTGGTAAAAATCCCACCCAGCCACCAGCTTTTACGATTCGGATACTCCCGCCTAGTTTTGGAATAAATTGACTTTAATTCAATGAAACTGTAAATCCCATGCTGTCACCTTGTGCCAACGTGTAATTTAGCAACGCCGACAAATTTTTCTTTTTAATGAATCGAAAGTAGCAATTTCTTCTCGACGCTAATCGCATGAAATTAAAGCTAGAGAGCGTAAGCTAAGACGATCAAATATCCGTATGTCATTCGAATGACGCAACAATTGTCAAGCCGTGTCCGCACTCCCTGCCTCTAATTAACAGGTGCATCTCGCAGACAAAGTAGAAACCCACCCGCGTACGGGCGTCTCCTGCAATTCCAACGTCAACATTGGCGCTTCTTTTTTCCTCTCCTTTTGCATTCCACGCCAGTAATTCGATCGCAACGGAAGTGCGTAATACGCGTGTAATATTATTCGCAAGTTATGTACTCGTCGACACTTATGCTTGGCGATTTATTAGCTCTAAGAGCTTTTGTTAAATGCATTGCTTGCATCGAATTGTAGGAATTTAACCACGTGATAAGTAATTAGAACTCTTCAAATTTTTTAATAATTCTCATTCGCAGTAATATAAGAGCAAAAACATTCCGCATTCCATAGGAAATTTAGAAAATGGCTGATAATTTATTTTCAAACATTAACTAAATTAAATAAGAAACCCCAACGATTTCAATAATCAAAACAAGAAATCATTTTTAGGAACTCCGATTATTTACTGCAAATTCTTCTGATAGAATTTTTCAATCAATAAAATATCATTTATTATAATTTTGTCCATTTTTAAATGAATCTAAATTGTCTGACATAGAAATCGCAACGTTCTGCGACAAAATCTTCCATTTTTTATGCATTAAGATTTTTTGCCAGGGGTTAGCGTAAAAAATCATGCGAATCAATCAGACACAACATCGGTACATTAAAAATTAGCGAAGAGAATGTATTAATCACACTGGAGTTATACTTTTTATTTAGAGCAACGTGAGCCGCTTCAACGCGATAAGACACGTACCCGCGCAAGATTGTTAATAAACGTACGTGGCTACTTTAGAATTTTCATCAGCTAAGTGTAATTACTCTCCAAATCGATCGCCCCCCCCCCTCCGCAACAGGGGGTAAACATATACATGCATATATGAGCATTAATAAGACGATTTAATCTTATGTCGGCGATCTCTAGCAAAAAAAAAAATACATTTAACTCGCATACCATATAGAGCCTGCGCACGTAACCTGTTTCTCAGCGTGTTAACATCTTGTTTCATACTTACGGATATATTGTTCTTGCAGTGGATAGATATGTATTTAATTAGCGAAAAAGGCCGTCGATGCCGGTCAACGATAACGTCGAGAAAGAGAGCTTTGATTTAACGATTCGCCACTCATCTATGAAGCTTTTATCGAGTTGGAGGATAGATCGATCATTACGGGTGCATATGTAACTCCGCGGTGCGAGCGTGTAGGCGTGCTTTTGACAGTAACAAATGGAAAATCCTTTGGAATTGCGTAACGAAATTATCGCAATGCAAATATGCTTTCGGGTTATTGAATCTAATTTGCAATAATAAAAGGGAGATAACGAGATGATATGCCTATCAAAAACTAAAGGAGAGAGTGAAAGCGCGTATAATTTTAATGCAGCACGATTGGGCGGATAAGAGTTTGCAATCGACATTGAGAACCAATGAAAATTGCAGAAAGCCGAGACTTCGTACCTTTCCTCGCTGACATCGTGCGATCCGAAAAAGTGAATCGGAGTTTAGACAGCGGCTATCGCAAAGGCCCCTTTTCTTTACCGACAGTCCCAATTAAGATTGCGCGCGCCTTATATCGATCATCGCGGAGATCGCGCGCGTCATTGCGTACGCACGCGAGAGCGAGAAAGTAAAATCGTGAAAGTATAGTTTGGAAAATTAACAAAGCGTTTTATCGCTCTTGATTAATGAACGTATGCATAAACCAAGCCGAAAATCCGCGCGACTTTTGTTCGCTGAAAGAAAAATGGGACGCCCCGGCGTGATGCATTGCTTGCTGCTCACCACGCGAGTGCACTTTCGTTTTTCGCAAGTAGGCGACGTACACACATACTTTACTGCCGTGTTGAAGTCTTTGTTACTTCCCTACCTTTCTGCGATTTTTTTTATTGGAAGATAATGGCGATGAAGTTGTGTTGAGTGGCATTATTTTTCTCGGTGGTTGATTTTTTGTTTCGATGAATCGATCCTTTTTTTCTGTTGTACTTGAAAAGTGACGTACGTACTATTTCATCGAATAGATTATTTGGTTCTCGTATTGAATTTGATAATCAAATAATATTGTAGACTTTTGACGACTTTAGATGCAATTTAAAAGAAAATTTAATGAATAGATTATTTGGTTTTAATAGTAGGCTTGATTAATAAAATTATATCAAATCTTTGTAAATTTTGAAGTATGAAGAAAACTATTTTAATTAGAAAGTCGACAGAGTGTTCAATAATGTCATACAATTTCAATAAGGCTATTATTAAATCTATAACCTTCCTTATAAACTACGTACAATGAAGAATCTGTCAAATGACGAAATAGACGACGCATATAGGAGAGAGGCGTTGCCGCGGAGCTTGTCAGTTAAATTTAAGTCAGCACCTACGTCAAATGTCATTTCTCACGGGTACGAAAAAAAAATAAAACCGTGTCGCAATTGCATTATACCGTCAATCGGTTCACACTCGCACACATTGATTAGAAAACTAGCATACAGGAAAAATGCAATTTGCCGCCGTTATATAGCTACAGGAAAAATTGTTTGGCCACGCAACGTGTATAATATGACGCCAAACACTCCCTTCGTCGACGGATTAAAAACCGGTTTTCCCTTTGTCTTTTGGCGATGCAAGCGCAGAGAAATATATGTATTCCGTTCTATATGAGCGCGGGATAAAATAGGTGTCGTAAGGCTATACTCTTCGAGAAGCAATTTTCGCCCAATAAGACAATACATGCAACATAGATACTCTGATTTCGTCGTGACTGCACTGTCACCCACCGACAAAAGACACGCGCAAGAACCGCACACATCAAGATGCACGATGGAAGGGGGCTGAACTTGTTTTTTTATAATACTCACCGCGCGTGATCGAGATCTCGCTTGTTGCCGAGTAGCAAGGCAGTGAAGTAGGACGGCAGCCTTAGGTCGGCCAACTGCTTGAGCAAACCGCGAGCCTCTTGGAAGCTGCGCTTGCATGTCACGCTGTACACGATAACGAACGCCTCGCCCCATCTTATGTGCGAGTACAGGCAGCCGTTCTCCTGAAACAAACAAAAGTTGAATTTTGAAAAAGAAAAAATCCAGAAAAGAACAACGTACGAATGATATCACGAAGCTTATGATCTTACACTAGGACAAGGTGATCAAAGGGCACGCAAGTCGTGTAATGATGATGCGCCAAAAAGCCTCTGACAGTTATTGTCAGAAATCGGTTCGGCATGAGAAAGCAAACGGAAGAAAAAAAGTACGACTGAGGATTAATTGTTTTTACGAGCTGACTTCAAATTTCTAGCGTATAAAAGGTTGTAATGAGGTTGTTTATGGGGCGTTTCTTTTTGAAATACGGGCAATGGTAGCATTTTAATTCACGCTGTAAATTTGTTCGATTTTTATTTAATGATCCAAATTTTTACTCCTGGTGTAATCAAAAATCAATCCGGAATGGGAATTATCCTGCGACTTTCTTCGAAGTTTATATGCATGGCTCGAGTTAATTGTAATATATTGGCTATATGCTATAAAAGTGTGCTTATGACGTACGTAAGAATTCTCGGGGGTTATTTTGTATGAACCAATCGATGTTAATGCCGTTGATTTACGAAGTCATTCGAATTTTAAGATGTTTTAATTGAAGCTCTGTCTTTCTTTTTGAGGCTGGCGTTGCTTGGATTCATTGTGAGAGCATCCCTCAAAGAGAAAGGAAGCTTTGGGATGTTAGTCAAGCTGGAAATCTATGCGCTCAGTAGTAATAAAAGGCGTCCAGCGGCAAATCCTAATCCCCCTCCGCGCGCGACACACTATTAATACGATTTCCGGCCAAGCGAGCGGGCGACCGAGCGAGAAGAAGAGGCGGAAGTCCGAGACAAAACGCCCGCGCGCGCACAAGGGGGATTGCATAATTTGTACAACCCAGAGGCGAAGGAACTCGCCGGTATTTATCAAATTAACCTATACGCAAGTGCGAGAGAGCTAAAGTTCTATAAATACCGAAACTCGTTTTCCTCTGCTATACGCACTACTACGCAAGCACACACGCACGCGCGCTCACGCAGAAAATCGCCTTACAACTATCCTTTGCATTACGATTAGAATTCCTATTTTACAATCGCGCGTAAGACAAAGCTGAGCGCGCGCGCGCTCGTTTGGTTTACGCGCGGATGGCTTGCCGTGCTATTTCCGTTATTAGAGTAGGCGCGAGGACCGACTATTCTCGTGAACTCGCCCGACGTGCTACAACTACGCTCGCTTTTTTCCGCGCGATCCTTTGCTTTTCGCGAGCCCATACGTAGTGCACACTTAACCCTTTTCAAAGGTAAATCCTGTGCCGTGAATGTCGTGGGACATTGCTATGTTCTTTCCCATTTAAAGGACACGTAACAACGCGCTGTTTCTATTATTTTTTTCTCGTGCGCGAGTGCGATACGTAAGGGTCACTCTCTCGCTTTGTGTTTTCTCCGACAGATTTATTTGCCAAGTTTTTCTTTGGGAAGATCGGTTAATTGGATGCTTTTTCTAGTATAAAATGAGTATTTGTGCTTTACTTTCTCAATTGCGAGTAAATTTTCTACTTAACGAGTTTATTTAGTCATCTGATATCAACGACCATTTTTTTCTTTTTTTTTTTTTAATAACTCGGTTATAATCGGCTCGATCTAGGCGTCCTAAAATTTTTGGCTGGAGTTTCTCAAACACAGGCATCACTAACCTCATATATTTTTTACAGTGATAAAAAATATATGAAGCGGAAAAACACACATTTTTCTTGGTCAGTCGCTTGCATGATTTCAGAAATAGCGCTTGCCAAAAATTAATAAATAAATAAACGAATAAAAGCTGAATGCGACATTTGGCAAATCGATGCGATATGTTGATCGCGTGGCAAAACACCTTCAGAATTCATTGACCCACTCGTACAAAGTTGATTCACACCCGAAGAAAATCGCAAAAGATAGAGAGAGAAATAATTGACGATAAAGAAACGTGTCGGCGCAATCTAATAATTGGTCGCGCGCGTGCTTGTGCATTTGCATTCGGAATCGACAATTCCTGTATATATAAAGTGTCTCCTGATTTTATTTAAGCGCCGCGTTGTAAAGCTGTCTTACAAAAATTAAAAACATGCCTCAAATAAATTAAACCTGCGTGCATGTCGTCAATGAATATATCTTCCTCTGCTTTTTTTTGGGCATTTGAAATTCAATTTATTTCAGCAGGTTTACAAATGAGACGTTTTTTTCTTCAACAAACATGTTTGTTAAGGAATGAAATGACGTTGAATATCACTTGAAGACAGCTTTTCGAAACTCGTTTGAAATCCGAAATCAAATCCTCGAGTAAAATATCGCCTTACGAACGTTCCATTCATCTCTGAAACGAGATGAACGAACTTGAAAAGTACAGCAGTGGCGTGTAACATTGACCAAGAAAACGATAGTTCATCGGCCGTACAGTTCGAGGCCAACTTGAATTTCACACATCTACACAACAGCGAACCTTTCAAAAGTTTCACTCTTACCGATCGTGTGACTCGGAAAATATATATATTACGTGTATATCGTACCACTTTCGCCTTCGGATTACGGAAGCTTTTTTTCATCTCGAGCGAAAGATTTTTGTAAAAAGAGGCCTGATTTATCACGCGAGAGTTTGATGAACGACTGCTGAGGGGATGTTAAAGCGACGAGTTATATAGATGGTTAACGAGGTGGCTATTGTGTCGCTTACTCACGACGACGACTTTAATTGTGTTGCCCAGTCACGAGGTTAGCGGGCTTTATCTGCAAAGCGAGCGAGAGAGGCTTTCAAGGCCAATATACTATGTGCGATTATCTTGTACGTGTTGTACCCTTTGGCATGTCTTAAATAACAACCAGAGAGCTTTGCAACTTATTGCAGATACTTCAATTTTATCGAAAAATAAGTGGCAAGAAGCTTCTCTTGCCATTTGTTGCGCATTTTTTTTAACCAAAATTATGGAATTGCGTGTAATACTTGCTCATCCCTTAAGTGAACTATAAAGCAAAGATTATCGAAAATTATATACGCTAATAAGCATCCATCCAGCTGATAAAACACACGGCGAAGTACACGCGATGGATATTTTATTTTGAATTACGCGATTTAAAGGCCAATGATGGCCTTCAACATGCGCGGAAAAAGTGTAAATCTAATTAACATTTTTTCACAGCAAATCCGTATTTACGCCTTTCATTTCACTTCATATCAAAAGATATGTTTCGCTATTGCCTGAAATTTAAGGGTGGCACCGATTACATTTTCACCTGATCACAAATAAATCGTGGGAGACGGTGAAAAATAATTAAACTATATCTTGGTTCTCTAAATAGTAACACTAAATATGATAAGAAATATTTATTACGTCTTTTTATTTATTTAAATTGCAAAATTCATGTTTTAGCAATACTGTCAATCTCTAAGTTTTTTATTTCCGTAGCCCAAATTCTCTTTATGTTCTTTGCGTAAAAAGTAAACATCTTCATGTATAGATTAGAAAAAATATTGAATTGAAAAAACTAAAAAAGTTGAAAACGATAAAACGACTGAAAAGGCAATAAAAAATCAAAACGAAAAAATACCACCTTTTCCCCTCAATTTTCAAGATTTTCCAGTTAAACTCTTTTTGTGAACATTTTATAAAAATAACAAGTAAATTTATCCTTGGATTAGAGAAAAATGTTAGTTTGTCTAAAGTAATGAGAAATATATTTTATATAAAATTACATTAAGTATTTTGATTTTAGCGTGTTTCAAAATGTAACGAAAAAAATTGGCAGCCCCTTACAATAATGACTGAGGTTCATTGTAAACCCCCTTTAAGAAAATGAACTTTGTCAGGGATAAATAACGCAAGGAAAAGCGTCAATAATCGTAAAATTAATTACTGAAGCAGAGTGTTTGAATAGCATTGAAAATGCGCCTCCGAAAGAAGGAATCTCATTGACGTAAGCAGAGAACAATGAATCGTGGTCGACGTGTAAAAAATCGAGAGAAGATATATCGTAGTCCGAAGCGAGCGATCTTACAGACGAGATACATGTTTTTCGCTTGGGATTTTAAAGGAGAGCGACGCCTCGCGCGCACCAACACAAAAACCGCCTGGAGCGCGTTCAGCCGCAGCGAAGCGCGCGCGAGCATAATTTATATAAAAGCTCAAAAACCTCGCCGATACGCCATCTCTCTCTTAGATTTATTGGGATGGGAGTCTTCAAACTGCCTCTTCAATAAAAACAGAAACGCGATGTTTCCTTTTTTTACCTTTGCTGGGGACAAAAGGAAGTACAGCTTGATTCATGCTGTTGGAGGCAATAGAACCGTTACTAACCACGCATCCCTTAAATACAAGGCCACGTGCCTTCGAAGGCCAAACACTTTCGATTTTCATTAGAGAGAAGAGTGAAATCGAAGCACGCGTTCTTTTCCATTATCGCGTGCATCGCTCATCTTCATAATACTCATGAAAGCGCGCATTCCTCGCTTGTGTGGCATATAACGAGTCGCCTCGTTTATACCGATTTGTAAAGGTATCGTGGAACGCGTTTATATAAAAGCTACTTGCTGCAGCTGCCGAAGGAGGGAGCCAGCTTGTTCGCTAGATTGCGGACACTGCAACTGCTTTCAATAACAACGCTTCACCAATATATACCAAGTAAATATCATAGTTTATTGAAAATCTAAGAAAACAGTATTTTAGGCATTTCCTATCAACAATTTGAAGGGTGCATCTCGGGGCTCAAAATTTCGGTAAGTCTTTTTTAGACGATAAAACGAATTAAAATCCCAATCGAGCTATTAAATTAAAACCTTTCCTTTCAATGCAAGAAACTACTCCAAATGTATAAATTATTCTTTCTCTTTCTTTTTTTTTTCTTTTTTTTTCTTTTTTTTTCTTTTTTTTTCTTCTTTTTCAAGAAATTTATCAATTTAATATAGCTTTTCAAACTCCCATCATCTCCGTATTGCACCCAACAACAAACTTTTTCTTATTTGAAAAATTTTTCCTGCAGTGGCGTGCAACTAAAAG